ACGACCAGGAGATCCCAACAGTTCTTCATCCTCGACATTGACTTCACAGGAGAGTGGACCTTTTACATCAGGCATCGCTCCAGACAGACCGAGGAGACATCGAACAAGGATGACAACTGGAGATGCGATGAGATTGGGATGGCGACCTCCACTACATGCAGGAGCACTAGCAGAACTCGGTGAAGAGTATGTAGCGCTACAAGGTGTATGGCAAGACATTGATCCATCAAGACTCCAGAGAGGACTGATGAACATATTTCCCCTTCCTTTCAGACGAACAGGAAGGAGCACCAGAAATCACGATGATGGAGAACAAGAACAACATGACCAAGACCTACAAGATCAATATGAACAAGTTTCTAGAAGAAGGACCTCTTGGGGAGGAACCAAGTCCAGAGCAGACTTTGAACGACTTGATGTTTTCACACAGGCTGGACAAAGTGGTATCAAGAAGAACTAACATATGGACCAAGAAGACGCCTACAACAAGAAGCCTCACATGGAGCAATGAGACCAGATGACGTTCCAGAACCAGAACCAGAAGGAGAAGACGATGAACTTCATCCTGGACACCATGGAGATGAACGCCTACATGGACAAGTTCGAGGAGTACAAGAACAACTTGGTCACGAAGAAGGTGAACATCGTTTATTGACGGTTGACGTGGGCCATGGACGTTCAGGTCATGGCGGAGAAGATCGAGAAGAATCAGAGATTCCAGAGATCTCCAGTGACAGTTCAAGAGAGTGGCTGGATTTCGATGGAGATTCAGAAGGTCAGAACAGAGCACAAGATGTAGATGAGCAATGATGGATGACACTGGAATCAACATGCAGACGCATTGGCGAGATGATCGCTGACAACAGCAATCACTACAACGAGGACGAGCTCTATGACATGATCCCAGACGCCCAGGATACCTTAGACTGGTATAGACAGCAGGTGCTGATGAGAGGTGAAGGAGTTGAAACTCATTTGGTTCATGCAGGTCATGAACTAGCAGTTAATCAGCCAGATCTTGGAGACAGCGATGACACAGTGAGTGGTATTGAATGGGCTGCAGATCCTACGCAGAGAGATCTTAGAAGCAATTGATGATTGCGCAACTCCAGAAGGATGCAGAAGAAACTTCAGATTCATCAAGAAGCCGAGCGATTGGAGCGAGAAGCAATCGAGAGAGCGGCAAATGACATGGAAGCAGCTGGCAGCAATGAAGCTGAAGATTCAAGAGATCGACGCCAACGAGGTGAAACTAATGCCATTCCAGGCGACCATAGCCTAGCTGGACTGGCGTTGAATGCAGCTGAGAGGACGACGTATGCAGGCAGTTCGACAGACCGGATTCGAGCTGGACTGCAGGATGTTCCTGAGAAGGAGGATGACGTTTCTTGAGGAGGTCATGAGCGAAGAAGACACCGACATGGACAAGGAGAACACAAAGCCCGATAACGCAGAGCGCAGCGATGAAAGGCGTGAGAGAGCAGTGGACAGAACCTTTTGGCAGTGGCGAAAACCAACCAAGGCTTTGATCTCAAGAGAAAAGGCCGCAGCCATGTTTTGACAACTTCACGTAGCTTGCAGCAGGGCTCTTTCTGGAAGAGGCAAACGTGCGTCATTCCTAGCTTCAGAATGCGAGCTGTTGAGTGGCCTCCTCTTGAAGTGAAGGAAGCATCTTCCTGTTTGATTCTGCTGAACTGGTGCAGCCCACTGCTCTGTCTCATACGATTGAAGCCATAATGCAAAGCTCGATATTTGGCACGGGCAAGGCATGATTTATGCTGAAACATTTTGCTGGTTGAACAATTCCTGATGACCAACAACCAATTACCATTTCATGATGCTGTAACCTAATATGACACATGCTTCAGAATCATACCAAGTTGGTTGGGACTGAATGCAGCCACAAACTGCTTGCAAGAGTGTCTTGTATCCTTTTCAGCAGGGTCAAGTGTTTAGGATGTATGATAGAAACAAATGAAGTGTTCGTTCTCAATTCAGTTTCTTGTAGTTTTTTGGGCAAGAACCTCAAGCAGTGTAGAATCTTTCTGGAATGGTCTAGACTGTTTCGAAATGCAGGGGATGCTTCAATAGAAAATTCCACTGCTCAACTACATCTGGAGCAGGGCACTCTATGCAATGAACGTGTGCAAAAACACAAATTTCTCGAAACAGTCCACAAGATCATTGGTGCTGTAATGTTTTGTTGGTTGATTGGATGTTTTTGATTTCGAATTGGTTGCTTGTGGTAGTTGCAGCAGGAATCAATGTCAGGATGCAAGGAAATCAGTTCCTGCAGCATTGTTAGATCAAGCATTGATTTCAAACAGTGGCCCTGGTTTGTTGCTCAGTCAGTACAGATGATCCATGACAGCACATCGCGTTTTGACAGCAAATTGCGCTAGAGGTCCCATGCAAGGATGTTTCCATGCAAAAATGTCATGTAACTGAATGCAGTGCTATCCGATAGTATCCTTTTTTTGAACAGTATGAATTCCACTGCTCAATGATACCCAGCAAACCCGCCACCCAAAAGTCCTTTGCTGTATGGCGCAGTCCGAAACGAACAGTCGCAGGTTGGGGCGTATGTGACCTGACCTGCTGTGGCTTCTAATTTAGCCGCGCAACCCGTAGACTCCTTTTATATGGAAGAGATATGACATCTTAGCAGGCACATTGGCTGTCAGACCAAATGAGTCAGCAAATTTCACAGACCACGTGGCAGAAGGCTGGCCAACCAGGGCTGGCAACTAGAGCCTAGGCACACATCACATGCCCAACACTGTAAGATGCTGGAACGAACTCCCAAGTTCCAGTCCAAAGTCTGTGTAGCTTGCTGTTTGTGTAGCTTGCTTTTGCACAATTCACAATCAAAGCAATTACATTCATATATATATATATAGAGCAAGTCAAGCTCTTTATCAGCAAATTTGAGAGGTGATGCGAAGTCGGCACTTTGGGCCCCAATCGGACGGAAGTGCGGAGAACATCATGAAAACTTGACCGGAGCTGCTTCTTAGAGGGATGCACTTCACCTAAGCTACTTTGAGACTCTGCCAACTATATCTACCAAGAAGAACACCTGCGGGAACTTGTCAGGCGAGAGCGGTGTATCACTTCCTTCCTCTTGATGATAGGGGTAGGTTTCTTGTGTCACTCCTTGCCATGCCAACTCTTGGGTTTCTTTGCATGTCTTATCATATTTTTTTGTCTCCTGTCACCTGTCCTGTTTTTGTCATCGCACCATGCATGTTCAATTGCTCGAGTGCCTAGCCTCTGCAAACAGCTCCAGATGCAGGAGCATTCGATATCAAGAACAGGTTGTTTCAGCATACCTAACCAACTGCTTGTAGTTGAAGAGGGGCAGGGAATTAAATTAACTCAACTATGTCCATTCTTGTTTTTCCAAAGTGCGAACGCCCCCCCCACACACCCGCAGACCTTCGCCGAAGTCAGCACTGGCAGGCTGAACAGATACAGCAGCTTGAAGAAGACCTTGAGGTGGCGCATTAACGTGTCAAGTCACACAGACTGTGCTCTGGAGGGAATGTTGAGTCGAGTCAGATCCACAGACCATGTTTATTGAACATGTTCTCCCTTCGTAATTGAGTAGGACGTTGGTGTTGCTGCGTGTTGACCTTTTTGTTCCTACCTTGCCACAGCAAGCTCACTGAGATGTAAAGCGAAGGAAAGGAAGATTGATTAGGAGGCCATTTGCCCAGCCAAGCAGTTTCTTTGTCCGCAGACTTTGTGAAGCAATGCGTCGAACCGAAACTCTTGGGGCAACCTCTTGCCCTTGAACAGACCAGGCACAGGTACCAGAGGCTTTGGACACACCAGATACAGAAAAATGGCCGAGTCAAGCCTGGCTGTTAGTGGCATAGCCTGGAGTTTCCTCGGTCCATCCGGAGCATTCTTTGTTCCCACAATCTCGGTGACCACCAGATGTAGTGGGTGGCGGGTACGGACGGTCCTCTCCCCCTTTGCTCCAGGAATTTGATGCCTCAGTCCCCCTGGTGGCTGGGAAGATCCACGACATCCTTATCAATTCTTCTGGTCTTTCACGAATCTTCATTCTTCTTATCCTACTGTACTGTAATTCCTTCCTTCCTTCCTTCCTTCCTTCCTTCCTTCCTTCCTTCCTTCCTCCTCGTTCTCCTCCACCCCCGGCCATCCTTATTCTCGTCCTCTTCACGCATCGTCATCCATCTGCATCCAACCTCATCCATTTGCATCAATCCTCATCCACCTTCATCCTCATCCAGTCTCTCAATAATTGCTTGTGGGTACCAAATTTACTAGCGCAATGAAGCAAAGAACATTCTTAGCAATGCGATTTACGCTCTGGCAAACTAACCTGTGCCTGGAAAACACTTTTGTGCTAATTAAACGTGTGTATGTCTACCGGTTGGTTACACTGGGGAAAACGGTTTTGGGGTCTTTCATGGACCCTTGACGTACGTCACCGAAAACGTGGACCATGAATGCAAGCACAATGATTTTTCATTCAACCATCAACCGGTCTAGTGAAATGGTTAACGTGGACCTTGCTGCGTCTAATTACGTTTGCTGCTGAAAAATGACACGTTAAAAACCATGGTACCTGAGCCATCAACGCACATTTTTTTCCACACGCCCCCCGGTGTGGCATGGTCTCTGGTAAGTATTGTAAAGTGTGTTGGGCCTCTGTGCTCAAGTGCTGTACTGCGGCCCCACTACACTTTTAAAGCCTTCACGTGAAAGAGCCTCTCTTCCAAAACAATAAACAGGCTAAATATGTTTGGGTTTAAAGAGGGTGTGAGAGGTGGAATCTAAGAAACAGACACACGTGCCTGGGAAAAGAGCTCGATTTCACGATTCACTCCGTGCCTTTGGTCCAATGGTCGTTCAATCCAAAAAAAAAAACAAACGCTGGCTGTAAGGATATCTGAAAAACTTTAGGTAAAATAGACAAACATTGGCTGTGAGGATATCTGAAGAAAAGGTCAGGTTTAACATAGACCTCAAAATGGGGTCTCGGACAAGGCCTTGGACAACACTGCTAAATACTTGTGATGTGTTTTGTTCTCCGTAGTAGTGCAATACCACTCCCACATGGCAATCAGAGCGAGCAGAATTGCTTTCCGCTCCGACCGAATATTCTCACCATGAGTGGGAGCTCTATGTTTTTCTGAGGCGCACCCAAAAATGGCATGCCACTGGCTTGTCGAATTGTGGTAGTAAATACCGGCTCCTTTGACGGGAGGGAGCTCCGTAAGGCCCTCATCTCGCAAAAGAACATACGAAGGCCTGGACCTGAATTCTGCCGGCTCTTCAGCCGGTGAGGACTTGCCATCATCATGGCAAACCATGAAACTACACTCTTCCAACGGAGGAATGCCCGGCTCTGCGGAATGGTTTGGTTCAGGCCGATAACGTTCACCAGGAAGAGTAGGCTCCTTATCACAACCTGCTTTGGGCGCTGGGGCTGGATCAGGCTCCCCCTGCACCATCGTTCCTGACAGGTTGTCCAACTGAGTTCACGTTTAAGTAACATCGTTTAGCGGGGTAACTGACACAAAAGTATCCTACCGGGATAGTCAAAAGAGTGTCTGCTTTTAAATCTTGGTGTACATACACATCCGTACAATATGGTGAACCAACAGCCGGAGCTTCACAACAATACAGCGTTCAAACCCCTCTTAGAGCTGCCTTCTAGGCCTTGCTCATCTCCTGGAAGGCTTTCACCATCATCATCATTTGAGAAGTCTACTGATCCAGCAGATTCCTCAGCACAAATGACCATTTGTGGCAGGTGCCACGTTAAACTAGTGTGGTGGTGTTGGTTGAGAAAGCCAGGCTCTTTTTGTGCGTGTATGAATGTATATGATATATTCAAAAAATATGGCTTTATCTTGACCTTGACCTCTTCCCCTATGCCCCATGAGCAAATCTGTTCCGTTCTGTTTCAACTTTAGTTGATCTGTTCCCCAAAAAGTAAACAAACAATTGTCTGATATGCCAGGTTAAAATAGTAGACTGGGAGACCAGGTTCCACCTGTCATGGTTGAGGCCTTTTCCACTGCTCGCCACTGTCAGATTGAATTGCCAACCATTCTCTTTACATGTCTGCTTTTGCCCAATCACTGTACACGGGCCAGTCCAGGAGTCCAGTCTTTGGAATTACGGGTCTTACGCACGCGAACCATGCGCACGTGGTTGCCACCCGGGCTGGGCATCTCCCAGTCTGAGGACCAAAACTCCAAGTCCTCTTGCCATGATCGGTCAATCGCAAGCACATGAGATTGCACCTCACGCTGCGGCACCACAATCGTTGGACCTGGCATCGAACGGGGTGTTGTCGGCTCATTGACCTCATCGCCCTTTTTCACGAGTAGTGAAAGCTTCAGGCAAGACAACCTTGACTGGGAGAAGAGAATCTACCCCACTGAAAACTAACATAGACCCTGAAAACCACTGGTTTGTGGAGAAACATCGTCTTTGAGGGTGCTATTCTCAAGGTCCGTGTATATACATATATATATATATACGTAAGACAAACAGACCAACAATGTCTTTTGTCAAACCTGGAAAAACTCAAAATATCACCGTCCAGAATGCTGGCAGGGCTACAAGACAGCAGCCACCACTCCAACTGCTCCAATTGCAATCACCACGCAAAGCCAAGCATTCCACATGATCAAGAGTTGGAGGCAAAGGTTTGTTTGTGCTTGAGCCAGTGAACTACAGAGCGCTGACCAGAATGTCGCTGTATCTCACTTAATGATGCCAAGTGCTAGGTTAACCAAACTCAGTAAAGTCCGCATTCTCCTGTTCTTGCCAATTGTCTTCATGAACCTCTTCGATTGCTGCGGTACCGCAGAAGACTTCAAAGAAAAATAACGATGATGTCAAGGGGCAGGTTAAAGAATCTAAAAGTCTGTCCTTCCATCCTCCAGCCCCCAGAACCCGCCCACCAACCCTTGCTCCCCCTGCCCAAAGAGTCCAAGTTTCCTGCTCGCTTTCCTCACCATCATCACCTGGTCGGAGGTGGAGATGTTGGTACCCCTGCGTGATAGTCGTGAGCTGCTTCTGCGGAAGGCCATTCTGGATGTCGTAGCACCTCACGGCACGAAAATCTGCTGCCTCATAGGGTCTGAGAGAGACTTCTACAAGCGCTTGGTTGATGACAATGCGCAAAGTCATCACCCATGGCTTGGCGGTACTTTTCTCGTTCTTCATCTGCGGTTTTCCTGTCGCTGGGTTTGCTGTCAGGTATTTCTTCACCCACTCTGTGGTTGCCAATTCCCCCGTCCTACGGTTGAACACCAGAAAGTGGTCTGTCCGCTCAAGCTTGGACAGGATCTCTTTCTGCTTCTTGGCTTTCACCGAGGTTGCTCCGGGATCTCCTTCTAGGATTGCCTTGTAGTCGTTCTTCGCAAGCCTGAAGTTGTACGCATGCTCGGCTAGAGTGCGAACAACACCATGAGCAATTTCATATGGAAGTGCGTTCCATCCATCTCCAGACTCGTCCTACAGGGACTCAAATGCTATGTAAAAAAAATGTGACCCAACTTGATTTGAACCCAGTCCTGAAGCTGCCACTCAAATTGAGTGCAAAATTGCGGCGTGGGACTCAAGGTAGTGCTTCCGCCTGCCAGGAGCCCTGTGGGGTCCAAGACTGTCTTTGCTGCCTGTGCCGTTGGCACAGCCGCCGTCCCATGAAACTGCTGGAAGTGTTCTGGCTCGAAGTAGCCAGTCACCACCCACGATGATTCGAAGACGGATTTGGCCAGGTTCTGCCATGCATCCACAGACATCTGGATGATCTTGTCCCAAGAAACCACTGATGATGCCACCTGACAGAACATCTGGTGGCTTCAGCAGTGCATCCATGGTCTTTGTTAAACATACTAAACTAAAACCTGCCCCTGCTTGGTACATGTGTAGTGTATTTCCAAATGTTTTACATCCCTTGCCTGTCCGCTGGATGTCAAATCCAATTCTTCAAAGCCTTAATCACCAGGCACGTTTGAAACAGAACAACACGTGCTGGAGTACACACAAAGTGGAGAGGTGCAAAAAAAAACATATATGCCAAGGTCTATGTTCAAGCAACGCTGCCGGCACCTCAAGTTCAGGACCTGGCCCGTGCTGACGAGATCCATGTAACGGATCGCTGCCCGGTAGCATCCATGACATTGGTCAACCGGCTGACCATGACTGCTCCAACCCCCCGGGTTTAGCCGGGGGGGTTGGATATTGTGGGTTTGGTACCACAAGTTCCTCCCAGGAGCTGCAGGGAAGATTGGTAGTATGCGTGGTGCCACGTTAAAATGTGTTAACAACTTTTCTGGATGAGTGCCTGTGGAGTATAGGGTATTTTTAGTTTTGGGACAGGCCTCCTCAAGTGAAGTCCTTGGGACTTCCGGAACGTCCCAGTCCAAGCGTCGCACAAAAGTCCACCACGGGCTTTAACGTCCAGGCCCAACCTAAACAGGGTGATCACATAAATTAAACGTAGACCTCTGCGAGCCACCACACACGTTAAGTATGTATTTCTTTCAAAACTTGATCCACGTTTCCGTCAACACGATAATACAGATGAGTCACCGTGTTCGTTGCTGCTGGAAAGCTTCCGAATACAGCTGTTCCATGATCATGCACAAGGTCTCTCCGTTCATAAAATGTGTTGAGGTCTGGGAAGAAACCACGAAGGACTTCCCGGCGTTCCGGCGGTTGTACTCCTTCATTTGGGATGCGGACATAGCCCCTTCAGGTACACAAACTGCGATTGGTCCTGGATCGCCTGTGCTCCATGAGCTTGTCATGACCTGGAGTGTTCATTCCCAACACCTCTGCCCAGTGCTATGTTAAAATGTTAATCAAAACTGTCATCCACAGGTGTTGAGGGACAAATACATAATAAGCATGTGAAAATGTTCAATAAAGATCAAGAAACTGTCATCGCACGCCTGCTGCCTTTGACATGGTGAACCTTCTTGTCCTCACGCCGTCCTTTCTTCCCTCTCGGTTGACGCTTGCCAGCCCCGGATCTAGGCTTCATGAAGAGCTTGAATTTTGAAGTCGCCCAGGAATTTCTCCACATTTGGTCAAAGTTCAAAATCAATCCAGGGTGCACATGATCGTTTTGTATCATGTCCTGGAACGCTTTGCGGGAAGCGCTCATGTCTGGATGATCGTAGCTAAGCCAGACACCCTCTTCAGACGCTCTGGTTAAAGAACTCCAGCCCCAATTCGACCTCCAGTTCCTGGACCAACCAATGCTTGGAGCGTCCAACATTTTGGGAAGTGGTTCTACTGCTGCCATGAGAGCCTGTGGACTGAGTTTGTTCTCGCGGTACTCTTGGACAAGTTTGGCATTCCATTCTTCCACCATCTGCTTGGTACTGTCAAGACTGGAGTTCCAGTCCGCCACCAAGTCAGTCATCGTTGATACCTTTGCTTCCAGGTGCCAGGTTAAAGAATGAACCTGAAAAGTAACAAAAAGCTTCCTCCAGCCATCAACAGGTGCAACTTGTGGTGGCTTCCTAGAGAATGGTGAGGTTTGGAGTTTGAGGTGACAACAATTTAAGGTATTCTAGTATTCTAAGTTATTTTAACCTAGACTCTGCAATGTGAATATTTGAGACCCAAATATCTACAGAAAATCAGGATCAAGATACAACGGCCTCTGCTGTGACCATCTCTTTTCTGACAGACACGGAGGAAGACCCCATAGACATTTCCATCATCAGCATATCGAGCTCCTTCTGCAAAGTGATAGGAATTTTCCCTCCCAGTGGTTTGCCTTTGCGAGGAAGACCAAGCTTTTCACGCCAAGAGTTGGTAGTGCACGTAAGCCTGGAACGCACCATAGCAGGAATCTCCTCCCAAGCCTCTTTTTCTGCAACCCTTTCCCACTTGAGTACTTGACTTCCCTGTGAGAGGAATTGTTTGAACTTGTCCCTGACCGCGGCTTGTATGTTGCGGCGCGCAACACCCCTCAGCTTCTCACGCTTCTCCTTCCGTGCTTTCAATTCAGCCCTGGTCATGGTGGCTGGGCGAGGTTCCAGCAGAGACTCTTTGGCTGCCGCCTTCTCAGCCTTCAGTTGCTTGAAGTATGCAACGGCCTGGAGCTTCTGATCCAGGGTGATGACTTTACGTGGCTCCTGGAGAGGGCTACTAAAGCCGTTTGGGTCCTTGGTCTTGGTGCGGTGGCGAGGACGACGGCAAACGGTGGTTTTGCCCCTCCAAAGCTTCTTGGCATGGTATAGCTGCCGACGTCTCTTCTTTTGCTTCTGAGTAGTGCCAAGTTCATTGCCTTCGTTCACAGCTTTCACCACTTTCTCCGCTTTCTTTTTCACCTTTTCATCTCGCCTCTTCACAGCCTGCTGCTTCTTGTCCAGTCGGTCCGACAGAGTCTTCACCTGTTTCTCAACTTTTTCCAGTTCTTTCCGCAGCAATGCGATGTGTGTTGACAGGGCCACAACTGCATCCTCAAACTTGAGCTGTTTGAGTTGGAATGTCATCGGTACCTCATCTATCTTTTTTCCCAATCCTTCCTCAAAGTAGTCTTGCCAGCTCACATCGGGAGCCTTCTTTGTGCCATGGTGTGTCTCGGAGGAAACAATCATAGTCAGAACCCTATTCCACATGGCCAGCTTCTCTTCGCATGAATCCTTTTGCGAGAGCAAGTTGTCCTTTTGGCTTTCCAATGATGTGCAGGATGCATTATGTTTTTGTTTCTTTTTGACAGCTTCAATCTCAGCGTCCTCCACGACTTTCCTGCACAAACACAAGTCTATGTAGGTGCACAGGGCTTGAAACACTCTCCAAACTCAATACAAAATGTTGTTTGTTTTTTTTCCCGCTGGCAACTAGCATACACTAGCTTGTCTGATGCCATGTTAAATGCCCCACACTTGTCCTTTTGGCATCAATCTTGGTCCGGGTTGTCTCCATGGCAAGCTCAGTCACATCCTCCCTACTCATGATCTTCCGCTTGTCCTTCACATTGAGCAAGCCACCAACCAAGCCACCGAGTTTGCCCACAGAGAAGTATTCCACGTTCAAGGGTTCGTTTGTGGGATGGGGTGCTGGAATCCCATCGTTGGTGAACCGTTGCACCTCCACACAACTGTAGTCTTTCTCATCACTCCCCAAAGGCGAATTCACTGGGACTTTGAAGACATAGAGGAACTCCCAGCAATTGCAGCTGATTGGAAGATGTTCCAGCACCTGCAGGTGCGAGGGCAAATTTAGTAGGTTCATACAGACTCAACAATCCATCCAGGTCTATGTTAGTTTTGGTGTGTCCTCTTCCCACCACAACAAAGCATAAACCTGAAAGATCAGAGGTAATGAGGTACTGTAGGTATGTACATGGTGTGTCCTTAATGGGCAAAACACCTCCAACATAGTCTATGTTAAAAATATGTGTTCTCCCTACCCCAAGCCTCGGAAATGGACAGCTGAGTGTCGGAGGTGAGGAATATAGCTGCCAGTGGGTTGTTGTCCAAATGCCGTGCAGCTTGCTCCCAAAAGCTGGATATTCTGGACGGATCTCCAATGACCATTCGTTGTAGCATGGGCTTTTTGACTTTGTATCGGCAAATTTCTCCCACACACAACAAAGAAAGCATATTTGGTGGTACTGCGTCCTCTTCGTCCAGTGCCAGTTTGAACTTTTTGAGGGAGATGCCTGGCACTAGAAGGTCTGCTCGAAGGAACTTCTCCTTGTTGCTCACCTCTTTATCCTGTTCCTCAGCATCGTCAATGGGAAAGATCTGGTTGGTAATGTCGTGCTGTTCATCACCTTTTGTTTCCTTATCCTGGCATCCCGAGGAGGAAGATGCTTCAACATGGGACCCTCCAGGGGCCATGACCATGGCAGCAGTCTGTCCACCAGCCGCAGCTTTGGGTGTAGTAGCATCTTTGGGTGGAGGTTCATTGGGCGGCGGCATTGGTGGCAAAGCTCCCTCAGGTGGTGGAATCTGCTTTTGTAAAGAGCTGGAACCCTTTTGAGGAGGCTTTGGGCTTTGCTTTTCCTTTTTCACCTTCACTTCAATCTCCATCTTGACAGTTGCTGTCTCTTCTGATTGATCCTTTTCCTTCTCAATCCCCGTCTCCTTCTTCTTGAACTTGTCTTTCTGGTTCTCCTTCTGTTCCTTGTACTTGTTTTCCTTCTTTTCCTTGTGTTCTTTTTCCTTGTCATCCTTTTTTTCCTTCTTTTCCTTCTTTTCCTTCTTCTTTCCCTGGCCCTCTTCCTCTCCGCTCTTCTGGCCTTTCTCCTTGTCTTCCTTCTTCTCGTGCTGGGACTTCTTTTCCTTCCCCTTCTCATTATCCTGGCTCTTCACCTTTTCTGCCTTCCCCGTGTCCAGTCCAGTCACCTCCTGATGTCTCTCAATGTCACTTTTCAGGTCTTCTTTGCATCGCTCAACAACTATCATTTCGATGAGACGGTCTTTCCTGATGTTGCTCTTGAACTTGAGCCCCCTCATCAATGCCAGGGTCTTCAATTCAGGTAGTTTTGTAGCCTTATGGGTCTCAATCTCTGTATCCCGAAGGTCAGCCAAGAAGGTCGCCTCTTCAACGGCCGCTGCCACAGAACCACCAAAATCCTCACGGCTCGCTCACCGTTCTTTAGAGACACGTTTATGTATGTGTTGGTTGGTATTTTTTAACATAGAACCTGCAAGAACACAATGTCCATGGCATCGTGCGACACATGTTCTCACAGGAGCTGCAGTCCTTCTCATGAAATGTCACAAAGCAATCCCTCCTGATCGCAATCTTGTAGTACGGATTCAGTTCCTCATCTAGCAGCCTCTCAATTCCTTCTTTCTCAGCAAATGCAGACCATATGCCATCTGGTACCTCTGTATGCCACTCCAAGAGCTCTTCAAGGTCTTCACCCGTTCCTTTTTCCTACAAGGTAACGGAGTAGGGTCCCAATGAACCGAGGACAGTACATTTAGTAATTTAAGTCTGTTTTCGTATACGTATCTCTCCAAAACACCCTGCCAACAGAAGTTGTTGAAACCGGTGTTTATTTAACATGGACACTGAAGTGCTGCCTATTTTTGAACAAAGGGAACAATGTCAGACAGGTAGTGGAGGAAGGGGGGTTGCAGTCCTCCTCTGGAATTGGTTCATCTCCATTCAAAAAGGCATATTCCAGGCTAATGAGATCATAGTGGGTGGCCGACTTCCCCTCACCATCAACAACTGGGTGTTGCCACAACCACACGTCGCCTTTGACGTCTCCATGTGGCGAGTGAACACTTGTTCCGCTCATGCCAGGACGGACAAATCCAGTCACAACAATGATCCTCACTTGTAACTTCTGAGCAGCCCAATCCTTACTAGGTGCCAGGTTAAAGTACACTAGACTACACCTCTCATGGGCCCCAAGCAGTGATTGGAAAAGAAAAATAACCGGTTTGTTGGTATTGAACTCAAAGGCACCAGGTCTTCCATAATTGCTGACTCTCCCTTCATTACCCTCTCTCGGGTCGCCGGTGGCGGGTCAGTTAAACGAAGAGCCCAGTCGACCACGTTATCCTTCTCCATATTTGCCTCAGACTTAGTGAAAGCCACGCCTTGGGAGGTTCGCTGTCGGTTGAACCAACCCCACAGCTGCTTTTTGGATGCTGTTGTGGCAAGCCACATGCAGCTCCAAAAGCATCTGCCATCTGCTGCAACCTTGATCAACTGGTATTCCATCAGCAAGCGTGGTGGCAACTTGTCAATGGGATAGAACTCAATGCACGAGAGACAGGCAAGGATCACGCATGCCTTGCTTCACCAACGGTTTCCAAAAAACAGCCAGCAGCGACCCTACTCCACAATGCTACAGTAGCACCCTGAAAACTATATACGCATAACTAACATGGACCCTGAGAATGGCACTCTGAAAGACCGTTGCCCTCTATATACTAACAAATTAATACAACTTAGTTTTCAGGGTCCATGTTAGTCTTCAGCGGGAGTGTAACACAAGCAAGGAGCTGTGTTAGGAAGATGCTGTGTGTTCCCAGCTCTCACATGCAGGTGTTTCCATGCTGAGATGTCCATCACATCCTCCAACACCATCTTGGTTACTGTTCACGACCTCTATTTCTGCCTTTTGAGCAGTAATTAGCTAGTGTAATTTCATTTAAGTTTAAACAAACACCAAAGCTGGACAGTGTCTTAACATGGCACTTACTTTGGAGTTTAGTCCTGCTGGTAGATCTTCGCAATCTCCTCATTCACGGGAAATCCAAGCGATGCCAATTTCTCAATTCCGCACAGCCAACGACGGAGTTCACGGTGGTAATGCCAGTCAACCGTTGTGTATGTTGGCAAGGTCCTGGAGTTACAGAGGCTATTGCACTGTTGCTTTACCAACACACAAGCCCCGGTAATTACTGGAAATACATATATTCAGTATTAAGGGTCAATTAAAAAAGTATGTTTTGAAGGTGTGTGAATTTTGTATAAAACGGTTACTTAAACAGCTCCGTTTTGAACCTTTTTTGGTGGATCACAGGGGGGACCCCACAAGCTAAGCACATTGCCTTCTTGAAAATCCAAATACACAAAACCCAGTAAACGCTGTATTCTCCTGTTCTTGCCAATTGTCTTCATGAACTTCTTTGATTGCTGCGGTATCGCCACGTGAACAGCTTTCTCAAGCACTCCCTCCTGATGAAAACAAAAGAGGCTCTCCTTGGAAAACAACCATAATTGAAGGGGTACTGTATGGTACTGTACAGTAAGTAGCAGTAGTTTCATTGTGGTAACAGCAACAAACAGCCAACTAGCATACACCAGCTTGTCAAATGCCACGTTGAATACCCCAAGAGCCTGATCAAGCCTCTGCCAGCTTTCCTCCAGAGCATCTCTCTCACGATCCGTGAGCATACTCCTCAGTCGTGGGCTTCAATCTCAAGGTTGGGAAAAGTTGGTTCATTCAGTTCATTCTATATGAACTCTGTCTAACCCCTCCCGTTCTATACGTACAAACCGTTGCCCCGGCAATTCTAAGATGCCAAGTGCCAGGTTAAAGACCCTGAAGGTATCCTACTTCCTTTAAACTCCAGCTTCATCTTAAACTCTCCCCTGTCAGCTAGCTGGATCCCACAACCCTCATCTTCATTCACTTCTACCCAGCTCACCAAAATCTTTACCATGTGGTCAGGTGCCACGTTACACAACACATATCATGGTGCACCTTTTGGCTTGCTTAACAGCTGTGGTCCAAACACCGGTGACTGTGGTGAGGAGCAGCAGTCCCGCTCTATGTATTTGAGCAGGGGTTCTCAAAGTCATCTTGGTAGGTCCGGCTTTTGCTGCTGCATCTCTTGCGTTCATCTGCTAGCCTCAGATGGAGCGAGAGATACCATGTCAAGTTACGTACGTTGTGAAAGGCGAAAGGAAACAAAGATCGAGATACCTGCCTCTGGTGCATCCTTCAGTGTGTGATTCAAGTTGGTGTTTTTTTTTTAAACCTAGGCTGATACATGGTCAGTACAGCCTAGTAGCACGTCGGCGTCATTTACATAGAAAATGTCCTCGGCGCCGACCTGCTTCCCATTCCGAAGATTCTTGCAGATCCAATCATATGCCTGTTGTGGATTTGCCACCCACCGACCGGCGTCCTTGCGCAAAGCTGCCGTCCTCAGACAAGAGCAGATTTGCAGGTAGAAAAGTTAAACATATTTAAACATGTTATTTCAACACATTTCAACCAAGAATTGGACAGGTGCCCAAACCACTATAGGATACAGTGGCAGGTGTTACGTTAAAGTAAAGTCTTAAGTGCGGGCATCCCAGGTGCAACTTGTTCCCCAAAGCACGAGTCTTTTGTTGCAAAGCACAATAATGCCTCATTTTAAAACCTGTTCCAAACAAGCAAACCGTCCCCATGTTATCTATGTCCATGTATATATGCGAACACTAACATGGACCTTGATAATGATACCCTGAAAGATTGTTTTCCTCTACGAACTATTGGTTCAGGGTCCGTTTTAGTCTTCAGTGGTAGAACCCCTGGAGTCCCCAATGTTGAGCCGTGGGTCCAGCCACGGTACCGCTTGACTCCAGCATGGCCTGTATCTTCTGTGCGCACGTGCATCACACGGGTAGTGTATTCAGAACGGGCAGAAAAAACTTCAGCACACTCTTTGTGGATGCAGCCTGTGACCACGTTTTCACAGAGTGCCAGCTTCGTACCGTTCTCTTGCTGCCACATCCAGTAGGTATATGCTGCTTTTCTACCTGGTCCACGCTGTTGTTTCATGGCACCCTGGTTGCTGTCATCTTTGCAGGAGACACCTGCCAGATCCTTAGAATGTCTCAGTGGTAAACAATACCTACCTAGGCTCCCTCTCTTTGTGTTTTCTTTACACATACAGGTTCCACGTTAAAAGACATTTAAAAAAAAAAACTTCATCTTGAATGCCTAGTGTCTATGTCCACGCCCATCTTCAGGAAACAGTCCTTCTGGTGTCTCAAGCATCTTGCCTGGCTTTGCCAGCGAACATTGGGGCCGGCAAGGATGGACTTGATCTGATCACTATCTTCAGCACCGTCCAAAAGCTTGCGTGTAGCCTCGTCGACCAATTCCAACGCCTGAGGTGATGACATTCTAACAGGGTCTATGTTAACTGCAACTGAAGTGCGGGTTCCAGAAGGTACAGGAAAGGATCCATACAAGAAAATATAAAACATTAAGAAAGCTAATCAGCACAGGGCACATTCTCAAAGATGCAGTGTTTGCCAAAGAACTTGTCAGCAAGCAATCCTTCTTGCACAGACCCACAGCTGTCACAAGCGCTCTCCTTGGAAGCTGTTCCAGGGTCCATGTTTGCACAGAGATAAATATTATATATATATATATTTGTAAGACATGTGATGAATATTGTGTTGTTTTAATTCTTTTGCTGACATCACTGCTGCAAATTATAAGGTTACATAAAATATTTTTAAAATGGAAAAGTGAGTTTTGTTTGGTTCCAGTGGCCAATTTGAATTTCACCTCGATTCCGTTCGCCTCCAGCAACTTGAAAGCTCTTCCACCGGCATCCAGCCTTGCATGTCGGTAGGCAACCGATTAAACACCCCAGTTACAGTAGTTTAAACATAGAACCTACAACACAGGTTTGCCATTTTGTTTTTGCACAATGGTGGAAACACAGGGAACAGTTATTTGAATGGCTGAAGCCCAGCTACCCTGAAAATCCGCTGCTGACCCGAAGAGTCTGCCCAGATGAGAGTAGAGCTGAGTTGAAGGAAACAGAACGAGCAAATGCAAGTGCCCGGCTGGGTGCCTGGAAGGGTGCGAGCCGTGTTTAAACATAGCATCCACCATATTAACTTGCCATATATATATATATGTATTTATATAAATACATGAGCAAACATCATCTATGCCATATGCGGTGCATATGTTCGATAGTTTTTGTGAAAGCATGCCTCCGCCACAAAAGCAGCTGCAGCCTCTGTCAAAGACTGTCTCGGTGTATTGGCCATGACAGGTGGGCGCCTTGAGCTGGGCCAGCCATTCACATATGGCTCACCAGTTGGCAAATACCCAATGCCACTGGTGCCAGCACTACCCCTGGTTGGAGTTGGAACGCCTGCAACCTTGGACACAGCAATACCACTACCACAAGGAACAAGTTAAACCTTCTGTTTTGTTTGTATCTTCATTTGTTTAACATGGACCCCCTACCAAGCCATTCTCACAGCCACAACCCAGAAAGCTAAATCAAATTTGCATGAACTTGAACCCAGCTGCTGGCGTCCCAGGTTCAATCTGCAATTCCAACGTCTCCTTGATCCAGCAAAACTAGGTCTTTGTTAATGAACATTCAAAATTTGCACGACGCTGAAAGTGGAATGATATAGGTTCACTGTTCTTCTTTTTTGCCCTTTCTCCTCCTGACCATGGTCTTCGCCATCACGCCCGCAGGCAATCTCTTTCAAGGCCTTCTGGCCTTCCTCCATCATGGCAAAACCCTGTGAGCCAAATTGCTCTTCACCCCACCTGCTCAGGACCCCACTTTAACGTGGACCCCTGCACTAACATGGAACGGAAAGGATGTATTTTTCTATGACTCTAAGAGTATATGTGTGTGGTGCTTTCTTTCTTCTCTTTGACCCCACCTACTTGAGACCTCACCTTTCAACGTGGACCCCTGTCGCAGCATTTAACTTAGCACCTGCAAGGGGGTGTTATACTTCCCAGCACCAGCTGCCTAGGTTAACTTAACAGCCACACTTACACGTTAAAGAAGTCTGTTTTGAGACCGGTGACTATCCCCAGGAATCCCCAGGAATTATGCTAGCTCGTAACCGGCCTGTGGGGTGCTTCGTGCTACTTTTCAATTCCCCAGGAAACAGCGAGAGAGAGGTCCAAAGTACATTAACATAGCACTCCGGCAACTAGGGTCTTGATATCATGCAGTTTTTTTTAAACGTGTGTAAAACAACGTTTTTTTTTTTTTCACGCACGTTAGTCTTTGGGAGCGTATATGTCCACCGCCCACCTGATGACTTGATGAAGGCCGGTGCAACCACAAGCGGAGGTGTTCGGAAGCAAGGAGCATCTTGGCTAATCAAAGGACACAACCTGCAAGAAGAACGACGATTCAGATTGGTAATAGACACTTCAGCATTGGTTAGCCATGCCCGGCACAGACCATGTCAGGCTGTCAGCACCTTAGTGGCCATTTCGGCTCTTTCCCGCGCGCTCGTGGGAGTTAGCTGGCTTGAGCTGCGTCGAACATCGTTTGCAAAGTCCATGCGTCAACGGAGTCCATGTGAAGAACAGGATTCGCCTTTCGGGTGTGCACATCCTGTCCTGTTGCACCCTCAGGCGGTGGACGTAAGTGTGTGTTTTGGGATGAATGGCATGCGGCATGCGGATGGTGACTGTGCTGTTGGGGGGAAAGGTAGGATGGCATGAATATCAAGTGCTGAGAAGTGTGGAAGAATAGCAGGGTGCCATTGACTTCCGTGAGGTGCGGCCTTTAATTGTTCAGCAGGAGGTTAGTGTGCTGTAATTTTGTTCCAGATTGACTAGCCGAGCCAAGACTCTCTGTTGAGGGGTTCTGATGATGACCTTCCATTCTTCACATTCCAGTCACTAGTTGTTCACTTTTTGTCCAAATCTACTCCGATTTGACGACTGTTGGAAAGCTACGGCTTTCTTGTTTTGGTCCGCTACTCAGCTGCCAACAAATTTGGGGGCTTGCACGCCCGGAAAAGTCACGCAATATCTTGTATTTCATTTAACCTCAGACAGAGGGATCTTGCAACCTGTGCTTGTAGTCGTAGTCTTTCTTCCATTCCAACACAGGGTTGTCGCAAATACTCTCATTGAGAGGCCGACCCACTCCAAAACGTTTTGTTCCGTCACTGATGCCAATGCTGAGTGCATTTTGTCACCTACAAAATAGGAACGAATCCACTACATTGCATGGCTCTGACAAGCATCAGCATCCTTTTCTTTCAGTGTCTCTTTCAAGCCTTCAGCAGTTTGCAGGTGGGACCGCTGTTTTGGACCTTGCTGCTGTCCTTTGCAGCTTGCCTGCTGTGTGGCTTCTTCAGCCTGGCGGCTTCCTTCCTTCGAGCGAGGCTCACTGAGCGCTCTGGAACGGCGAAGACCTGGAAGAAGGAAGACCTGGCGCCACCGCGGAGGAGTTCAGAGACATATCCGAAGGTGAGCGTCATTGAGCAATTCTTGCAGCAGGTCGCCGCTTGGATTGAGATGGATTGAGAGTCAATGTTTGGTGTAAAACTGGCCACAAGAAGTCACAGCGAAGACAACAGCGGAGAATGGTCATACAGTGCTCCTGCGCTAGCTAGAGTACATGGACATCCAGCTGCACCAGAGCCCTCATACAAAGCCTTTTGGCTGGGCGTGCTGCATTGTGCGCCTTTGCGACCATAATTTTGAGGGGAGAACTGCAGCGAGACACATTGGGTGTCAAGCCCAGGCATCAAGTGTACAGCTATATATACCATAGGCCCCACAAACCATCGAATCAAAAACCTTGATTTCCCTAGCAAAACATGGTTTTTGTGTGTGAAAACCTTTGTTTTTCATGGTTTTGAGGGCTCTTGGTACTTAAAAGCCTTGAAGAGCATGTCTAACTGTCTGACCTTGGTCAGACCTCAAGGAAGCCAACGAAGTGCCCCGACAGTCATTACTTCCTGGAGAACTCGGGGACACAGAAGCATGAAGTGAACAAAATTGCCAGCACTTAGCAGAATGTAAACGGGCCGAGGCTCAAACCATTGCACAAGAACACTCAAAAGCGAGTTCGGTCTGGAAACTCCAATGTGTTTCCACCCGCTCCGATGGATTCTATTCCAAGAAGGGCCGTAGTTCATGTGACTACACTTGGTGTTTGCAACCTTTTGTCAGGTCTGTGCGGGCTGGAAACGAAACAAGTAAGAACCCTGGAAAAGGCCCAAACGAAACCTTTTGCCCAAAGCTTTCGAAGCCCGATCCCACGTGAGTCGTGGTCTGGGTCTCGGTCGTACCTTGAGGGTGATAACAGGGGTGTTTTCCAAGGCCCGCGAGCCCAAGGGCATCGCATTGAAGAGTCTCTCGGCTTGAATCATGATGAGCTGTCTGAGGTGCTGGGGCTATGAAGGACTCAACTGCCTGATGGTTCGCCCTGTTAGGCCGTTTGAGGTCAAGCTGAGTGAACTGTGAGCTGTCTGAAACCTTCCAGCAAGTGCAGTCCACTAAGGTCCAGAGCTCAGTGTGAGCTACGAGCAGTTGCTCTCCTGCGCCCTACAATGCGCGCGCCTGGTTTCACCCTACTTGGATTTGGAAAGGTCTGGGTGTCCCTTGGTGGCGCTCTACCTGCACAATGGCCCACGCCTGGTGGCTGGCGTGCTGGGTAGCTGGCTGGCCAAGGGCGCTTGGACCCCGTTGGATCGGAAGAGTCCCAAAGGACCCGCCCGGCCGCAGCCGTCGTGACGGGTCAAGCGTGGTTTAACAGTCGTAGTCGTAGTTTTTTAATGGGGAGACCTCTAACCCATGGGTAGACTATGGTAAACTGCTCTATTTTCCTTCTTCCAGACCCATCACATGGTGATGTGGTGATGAGCAACTGTCTGGTGACGTGCATGATGATATGCGTGGTAGAGGTGTTACTCACGCCGCGCCGCTGAGACAGCGTTTCTGTTGCTCTCAGCGTGGTGGAGGTGTCTCAGCCGAATGAAGTCTCCTGGCTGAACGCAGCGGCCGCAGCGCATCGATTGAGGTCTCCTCGCAGAGACCATGAAAAGGCAGTGATGGGTCAACTCAGGCAGTGATGAGTTCCATCCACAGTGCTGGCTGCGTGGGTGTTTCAGTGTAGGTACAGGGACCTAGTCATGGACCCACAGAAGACTACAGTTACTTCGTTCACAACTTTAGTGAAGTTTAGCCACAAGCAGATCGCATTCCTTTCGCACTTTGCCTTCTGAATTCGTTGATTCACCTGTGCTATTTTGTGTAGCATGTTGAGTGTCACTAGGTACCCTAACCATTACTGTTGAGCTCAGTTTTGCTTTGCGTGTGTGAAGTATGCAAGCCTGTTGTGTCAGAAGAACAGATTGTGCCGATGAGTCCGATGAGTGTCGCAATCCCCACATCACCCGGCAGTGAATCATTGGCCAATTGGCCCCATGTTCCTTTCAATGTGCTGCTTAATCTTCCAAGGCAACTGTCGATGGGTGAGGGTGGGTGTCAGCTTGCATTCAGTGCCCGCACGCCTTGAATCTGCTAGACTTAGTTGGAACCCACATGTGTTTGTGGGATGAGGTCTTAGTGGTTTTGAATCCGCCGAACATGCGGTCTATGAACTCTGATGGTTCATGTGCTGTTTGGCAGGAAGACTGCAGGAGCTGGTCAAGCTCACGAAGCCAGCTGTGGTGCTTTGCGACGATGAGAGGCCTTTCCAAGAGCTCGAGGCGAGCATCTGGCCGCACTGTATCACTGTGGTGACCCCCTTTTGAGAGTTTTGATCGAGTGAGCAAACGTGGCGAAGACGCAGTGTTTATAAACTTATATAGTTCTCCCTTCTTTGAAGGATTCACAGTTTTTCGGCGTCCTTTTTTTTTTCAGGCCCTTCATCCCACCCAAGGGTGACCCGAAGCAGGGTTTCTCTCAGAAACTGCCGGTGGAGCCTTCTTTTTCGTGACGCGAACGGCGTCGTTTTGGGGTCGCCAGGTGCCTCTGGTGCAGGCCGAGCAGCTCACTCTGGACGCTTCGGATCCGTACGTCGATGGGGAGAGCGCCGCGGGCGTGCAGCTGGAGAGCGTCGCGCAGGCGTTTGGGTCCTGGAGTGGTGGCGGGCGGCCCCGGCCATCCATGCACCCAGCTGGGTAGGTATTGAACTAGGGAGATCTTTTGAAAGATCCCCTGGAAGAAGGAGAAATCGTCTAAAACCCATTGGCAATTGGTAGTTGCGGGATGTTGCGGGTCTTCCTATTAAAATGCACACATATATTTGTCTACTAGAGTATGACATGTGCACGGTGCTTTCCCCATGCTGTTTTTGGATTAGGTGATCTACACGTCGGGGTCTACTGGGGAGCCCAAGGGCGTCATCTACAGCCATGGGCGTTTGGCCTTCTCGACCCACTTCTTTGCAGAGCAGTGCCACGTGACGGGAGGCCGTGCCTGGCGGACGGACACTCCCCATCGGACTGAGAGAGTCAATGAGGAATGGACACTCCTCCGGCGCCAGTCCGGCGTGTCGGTTCAAGACGTTCCGGTGGGTTTGAGGACTGAGATTGCGCCGACTTAGCTGCAGACACTCTGCAAGTTGTTCTAAAAGGAATCCACAAGCAACTCTTGCAAGACAATGAGAAGTCTTCAAGTAACACAGATGTTGCCGCGGCAATCGCCGCAGCAAGAACATTTGCAAAGCTGGCAATTTTTAGTATTGGCGGCAATGAGCTTACAGAGGACCTTCTCTTGGTATCTCTTTGGTGTTTTGGCCACGGTGCTTCTGTGGACACACACTTTAGGTGGACCGTTCTCCCTGCTGGTTTGCTGCTTATGATTTCCCTTTTGCAAGGCACCCGCGTGCTGCAGAAGACGCCCAACATTTGGTCCGTCTTCCGGCACGAGCTCTATCCCAGCTTGTGCCGTGGTGGGCAGGTGATACATCCGGAGCCGCTGAAGGCGAGTGATCCAGTCCACTTGGCAGAGACCATCCGATCCAACTCGGTGTCTTTGCTGGTCAGGGCCTGAGAAAGTGTGGTAGAAACCGGTAGAAACCTAGGAACCTTGACTAAGCAACCATTGCAGAAGACTTAGGCAGCAAGGCAAGAAACTTGGAGCAACATCAACTTTTGAGACCTTACTCTAAAGTTCTAAAGCCACTGTTCTTTGATTTCAATTGATTTCAATGGTCTAAAAACGCTCGGACCTTGCCCTGTCTCATAGCCATCAGCAGTCTTCACACTCCAAGGTGGCCACGCCCACTGTCTTGGAGCTGATCTTGGATTCCACCACAGGCACCGCACTCTCGAGCCTGTCACGCGTGGTGTGCATGGGCGAGCCATTGTCATGGCGCCTTGTACGACGGGTCCGGCAGCAGCTGTCGGTGGAGGTGATGAACTTCTATGGCTCCACCGAAACGGTGCCTTGGACTCTACCAGGTAGGTGTGGACTCTTTTAGAAAGAGTTGATGGTGTAAAGTCTAAGATGTGGATCGAAGGTCAGATCTTAAGGGATCTTGTGAGCTTGAAAACGGTCTCACCAGCTCTGCGGATCCAACGTCAACCTGACCCGAGACATGTCGAAACACTTTTTACCTTTTTTTTCGATCCATGGCCGGCCATGTGGATGACATGGGAGGAAAACTCCACCTACACGATTGCCCTGGGCCGAAGGGACCTGCCCTCGGCCGGTGTGGTGCCTGCGGGACAGCCGCAGCCCCATGTCTCCATCCACTTGCTGAATCCTGCTTCGATGGAGCTGAGTGATCCAGGCCACCAGATGGGTTGGGACCTAACGTCCATCAAGGGCGGGGTGTTGGTGGGGCGCTGGGTGCTGGTGGTCGCCAGCGCCGACAAGTCGGGGAATGATCCAGGTTGTTTTCTGTCGGGAAGAACTCTGCGACCCGAGACCAAAAGACACGGTCCCTGGATTGGCAGCACCCACAGAAACACTGGCTGGTATGATATCAACAAGGGTCCAAGATGGGAACGCAAATCAGCTGTCCAAGACTTTCAACCAGATTCTTTTTGTGATTTTGGAAAGAGAGCGCAGGTCTTCCCGACTCTGGTGTGAGTCTTTTTGGTTGATCCGCAGAATGCAAGAAAAGAATTCGCTTCCAGTCACTTATTCGGAGTTTTCTTCTTGAGATGTTTCATGGATCATGAGCTGGTGCGTTCCAAGGAGATCACTGCATCGAGTCTCGCCGAAGTCCGAATCCGGAACGCCTCGCCGAAGTCGCCGGCCCGCCGGCCCGCCGAGGCGCCGAGGGCGAGGTGTGCTTCGCCGGCGTGCTGTCCTCGGGTTATTGGCAGCGACCGGATCTCACAGCCCGGCACTTCGTGCAGCATCCGCAGCTGGGGCTCCTCTATCGCACCGGTGACCTGGGGCGATGGCAGAACCAGGAGGGGTGGGAGCTGCGCAAGAGCTGGTGGGCAAGTGGAAGAGCTTGGCCATCTTGTGAAGGGCAATGATCACAACATAAGTGAGGGTGTTCCAGTGATTTTCTTCTTTGTCTGGGGCTCGATTTGTTCTACGTACACTTCTTTAGTCATTCTATGTCCGAGGACTGCACTATTCAGTTTCCAAAAGGAAACCAGTGGACGAACCCAGCCAGACACTGATGTCACTCCACTCCACAGGGTCGAATGTTCTTCCCCCCAAAGCCACACGTAATGGACTTTGTTTTCTTCGACCGCAGCTGATCCGATCTCATGAGATTTACATGAGAAGAGACACTTTCTTCCTCCTGAAGTCTAGCCCTTGTTGAATGAGAGAACTTCCCCTTAATGTGGCAAGCACATTGACAGCTCTAAATTGCTAGCTTTTCATCCAAATCTTCTCCAACATGGACTTGACTATACATATATACATACTTGTACATATCATCTTCAAATATTAAGATTCATTTTGTTGTGGACACGTGAAAAGAAAGAAAAAACACTTCTTCTATCCTCACGGTTCTCCCAGAATGAGGGCTTAAACACATGGGGTCTCGGTCCCATTGTGCGCGTTGTCCGCGGCTTAAAATTCACTTCGCTTCGTGCTGAAGGCCTTGCAAGGCCCGTCGCCAGGAGCTGGAGGTCTTGGGGCGCCTGGATCGACAAGTGAAGATCCGTGGGTGTCGGGTGGAGCTTCAAGAGCTGGAGGCCGGGGGAGCGGCGGAGCGCCCGCACTGCATTTGGAAGAGAGATTTCTGCGCAGTAAAATACTGATTATTGATTTAGAGATGGTGGAGGATGGATGGTTGGGTGACTTCTTTCTGCGTGACACAAAAAGTGATGTCTTGTTGCTTGAAGGAGGTAGGGTGAAGATGTAGAAGATGTGACCCTGAGCTTGTTCTCACCGTTCAATCAAGTCAGACATTGCCCTCCTTTTCAGGTCTACCTCCTTTTGAAAAGTCCCAAATCGCATCCTGAAGGATCTGAACGGACGTGCTCGGCTCACGCATTGTTGGACCCCAGGTCCTGCTGGGATCCTTGGTGGGCACTTGCGCAGCGGTGGCGGTCCAAGGAGAGATGGACCATTTGTCACTTTGGCTGAGTGCATCCTAATGTAATTAATGTAGACTCTTGATTAGTAAGACTCCCCCATTTGGAGATGTGACACATCTTTATATGTGGTGTCTTTTTTTGGTTTAACTAATCAAGCGTCTACATTAGTATTTATAACATTTTTGCTTGGCCGTTCTGAAGGGTGGCATAGGAGTCAAGTGCATCGTCAGACAGGGTAGTCTTGGCAGATAAACTGATCTGAACCCAGACATTGATTCGTCAATCAGTTGTGTGCACGTTCTTGACCATCTTTGGGAAGCATCCGTCTTCAAAACGTTCCCGCTATCCATCAGCGGGTGGACATTCATGTTGGCTCGCAAGGCTTCTGTGAATCGAAATTCTTGCCGCTGAGACTCTTCTCCCTCAGGCTGCTGTTGGGGTGATAGCACATGCTAGTTGATAAGCAAGTAAAACATCTCTTCATGTGGGGGGTTATATTAATCAAGATTCTGCATTCTCCTTTCTCAGATAGCTGGAAGCTTTAGAGGTTCGTCACTTCCCTTAGAACAAGGCCCGAACCGGGGCAGCCTTTTGCCAACCGGTGGCCGTCCCCTCATTCCACGCTCAGGAGTTTTCTTCTCCAAGCATGCACCCTCTAGGTTCCTTATTGTTCCTTTTTCTTCTCACTCTGCTTCCCGTCTTCCTCTTCAAACATCAGTGCATATCCTGCTGCACCTCAGGCAGATAGTGGCCTTTGTAGGTGCTGATTGCGGCTTCGACCTGGAGACATTGTCTGAAGAGGCCTCCAAGATCCTCTCCCCGCAGCTCATGCCCTCGCTCTTCGTCCTGCTCCCGGATTTGCCACGGCTGAACAATGGGAAGGTGAACTTGGTGAAACTCAAAGTCTTAGCCTCGGACGCCTTGGCCAATCAGCCTGCTGAGACCTACGCTGTCCAAGACAGTCTTGGGGTCTTGCAAAATCTCAGTAAGTCGCAAATCGAGGAAGATCGATGGATACAGAACCAGCAAGCATTCTGGACTTTGCTCGTGATGATGCAGCATTTTGGCCACGTGTTCATGCTTGGCATCTATTCCAGGGGTGACTTTGGGGACACCTTCTGGCGCCTTTTGTGCTCCCTTTGCCATGCGCGCGACATGGTGGCTTTTTTGTTGCTCTTGGGCTTCACCGATGCACGCCATGCGCCCACGTTCAACCATCGTGATGCCGCAGTGTTGGTGGTGGCCTTGTTTAAGTCGTATCTGAACTGGGGTTACATCGGGGCTGAGTGGTTCTTGTACGTCTACTTCTGGTGCAGGCTCTTGCTGGTGCTGCTTTCCAAGCTCAAGCCAGGATCTTGGCAGGTGGGGCTTCTAGCGCTGGGGGCTTGCATGTGCCCGGATGATTTCCTATGGTTGCAACTGCCGTTGGAATGGCGCGGGCGCATCGAAAATAGTACAGGCGGCATTGACGGCAAAGGTTTCAGGCGCACCACCATTCAAAACCTCAGACTAGATTGGTCCGTGAAACTGGTCATTCCGTCGTGAAACTATTCCAGCGGGGTCATTGTATGTCAAAGACTGTCAAAGCGACTCCTTTATAGGAAGAGATATTGATACCCATACAGCACAGTTTTGAGTGACACTGATATGCCTCAGGTGGTGCGTGCTCTTCATGCCAGCTTGCTACCTCGCTGCCTTCCACTTCACATGCAGCGGAGCCTTTTCTTGGTGCAAAGGCCGTGGCATTTCGTGGATGAACCGTTGCGTGGATGGACTGGGGCACTACGTAGAGCCAGAAAGAGCACGCTGGGCTTTGGAGATTAGCTTCTCATTCGCCTGTTGGATCCTTTTTTGCTCCATGACCATTTTGACTGGCCAACTGCCTCTACCCAAGGCTGTTGGCTATCAGTTTGGATATCAATCAGTATATGTGGAGTTTGGAGGTCCAAAATATGGGAAGAGTCATGGAGTGTCTTGGCACTACATGACCCATCCATCGCTCTTCTCCTACATCCTCCTGTGGATTGGTGAAGCCGGGCTCTTTGTCCTGCCGGGCATCACTGTTGCGCTGGCCATGGTGTACTTGCCCTGGCACTTCAAAACGATGGGTAGCGCCTGTTTTGGAATCTACGTGTCTCATGTCTCTGTGGCTTTCTCAGAGCCTTTCGTTTGGGCTCAAGGTCGATTCGCTAAGAGCATCACCAATCCTTCGTGGGATCCGTGCTTGAACTTCCTGATTCTCGCATTTTGGACCATTTTCTTGTGCCTCGTCTATGCACACACCCTCGGCGTCCTTGCTCATCGCCTCTTGGTCTGGACTCTGCTGCAAGCAGCTTCCGTCCTGACTCGCTCCAGGAGCAACTGCTAGAGACCGTGAGCGTCGATGCGCCCCACGAAAAGAGTGCGCAGTTGCAAAACCTCTAGTAGCTCCTGGCATTACTACTAGTGACAAGAAGCTACTATATAGTAACAAGGTGCATCGCTACTGCGCTACTAGTTAAGCCGGAGATTCCACTGCTGAAAAGCCCTGAGTGAATCGATCTCTTGAGCTTACAGCTGACAGGGCAGGTTTTGGCCGACAGCTAATCGAAGCATCTTCGTAGTCAAGAAACTAGGGTGATGGAAATGACCAAGTAGGTGCCTACTTAATCAAGTAAGGGCGGGCTAAAAAAAGGATGGGTTTGTTCAACGTTCATGTCCACCCTGCGAGGTGTGGGTGTGCGAGTTACAATCTAGACAAAGAGTCGAGGGGCCGAGAGGGCATACAGATTCTGGTGCCCGGTGGTTTTTTGGTGACTACAGTGACTACACGGAATCTATAAAAGAATCAGAAATGACAACTTACTGAAGGTTGAGGATGTTGAGGGTTTTTGAAACTAACTTCCTCGTCAAGAGCTTGTACTGAAATGTTCAGCAGCCACTTCTGCTCGCCGCGCGCGGCGGTGGGAGTGCAGAAGCGCTCCACTTGCGCTCCACTTGCGCTCTTCCGCAAGTCGATCCTTGCGAATGGCCCCTTTCGTTTGCGAAGTCCATGCGTGAACGGAGTCCATGTCACGAGTTGGATTCACCTTTTGGGTGTGAACATTACGTTCTTTTGCATCCTCAGGTGCGAAGTGAATCGACGGTTTTGGGTGGATGAACTTCAGGGCTTGTGACTTGTGATGAATCACCGACAGGTGCATGGGATGAATGCCTTGACTTGTGATTGACGGATTTTTCAGGCCTACGCCGTACACTGAGTTTTGCAATCAATGTTTTATCATCGGCCCTTTGAGTGTGAATGACTTGTGGGCTGTAAACCGGTGGTTTTGAGCCAGTGGCCCCTCACATAGTTTTTCCCGTTGCCAGGAGATCCCTTCTTCTTGGGCCTTCGTGTTTCAAGTCTCGCACGTCTCGATTGCAGGTGGAGTCGCTGTTTCTGACCTTGCTGCTGTCCTTTGCAGCATGTGTCCTATGCGGCTTTTTCAGCCTGGCGGCTTCATTCTTTCGAATCAACAGCGAACGCTTGGCGAAAACCTGGAAGATGCAGCCCAAGCCAAGAAGGAGTTCAGAGACATATCCCAAGGTGAGTGTCATTGAGCAATTCTTGCAGCAGGTCGCCGCTTGGATTTCGAGATTCGGGCCATGTCTTGAAGATCGGAGTGAGTGGTTGCTCACTGGCCGGAAAGAACCGCGGCGGTCGATCCGTGGACAGATGAGAGTCCTTCTCCAGCCGCACATTCACTCCCTAAAGTCCCTGAAAGAATGGAAGTGGATGGCATGGCCCACCATGTTCTGAATAACAAACAGGTGGTGAACTCCACCTCCATGATGTTTTCAGGGGGCGCAAATGAGCTGCGGAGAGCAGCCTAGCATATATATATAATACATATATATATATAATATATGTATATATATGTATTATATATAACAATTGTTGTTCCGTGTCGGACGGTGGAAGAAAGGGGGCGTCTACGAGTCTTTTATTCTTTTTCTGAAGGCCACCGTTCAGGTACCAACGAAGAGTTTGAAAGGAAGGCCTGGACTCAAGACACAAGACCTTGGGAGTTCTATGCCTCCTTTTCCACTCGTTAAGAGGGTTTTCCCAAACAGGATCCACAGACCAATTCAAGCACCATAGTATTTGTGGATTTCTGGAACGTTGGAAGGTCTGCCGCACCGAGGAGGTACTTGGAGCATGTTCTATGTTGGGATGCAAAGGGCTTTCCCTAGGAAGCCTCACCGAAATTGGTCATGTACACTGTTGATGAATCAGCACATACTTTTTCTATCTTTTTTCTCCTCCGTTTGGAGATGTAAAGGAGAACCGTACACATGGGGGGTTTTAACCGTCTATCTTATGCCGTACCCGTCTTACCCGCCCCTCGGACCGCACCACCAAACTTCCTTTTCGGCCGCCGACGGAGCGCGCGACCTCGCCAAGGTGCGCGAGCCGAAGGGCATCGCTCTGAGGAGCTGCTCGGTGATGTGGGGGTCAGCCGAACCCACAAAAAATGGTTTGCCTGGCCCAAGAAGACGCAGGAACAATTAGGGGTCCAACTTGGTTTAACAGTCGCATCACAAAAAGGCCTATTCAAGCTGGTTCACTTTTGGAGACCTTCCAGCAAGTGCAGTCCACTAAGGTCCAGAGCTCAGTGTGAGCTACGAGCAGTTGCTCTCCTGCGCCCTACAATGCGCGCGCCTGGTTTCACCCTACTTGGATTTGGAAAGGTCTGGGTGTCCCTTGGTGGCGCTCTACCTGCACAATGGCCCACGCCTGGTGGCTGGCGTGCTGGGTAGCTGGCTGGCCAAGGGCGCTTGGACCCCGTTGGATCGGAAGAGTCCCAAAGGACCCGCCCGGCCGCAGCCGTCATGACGGGTCAAGCGTGATGGGGGGTCCATTGGTCCATGAAAGAACGGAGGTCTTTGTGGTCGACCCAAAGCGAGCGGTGTTCGTGTTGGGTCGGACATGCCGGACATGTTCCATCGAATCCGCCTGGCCATAGGACGAGTACAAGAGCTGGTCAAAGTGACGAAGCCAGCCGTGGTGCTGTGCGATGATGAGACGCCGTTCCAAGATTTGGAGGTGAGAAGTGTGGCGTGTTTTGTCGGAACCTCTTTTTCAAAGCCAATGGACGGTGGGTCGGAGTGTTGACACCTCCGAAGCCAACCTCAGCTCGGAGCTGACCGACAATCACCACACATGCGGAAAGGACCGATTCGACCAGATAGGTTCACCCTCCCAGCTGACCCTGAGAAGAAGCAGGAAGAGCTCCTACTTGGCTGACTTGCACCCTGAAACCTTGAACCCCCTTACAATCCTGGCTTCGATCCCAATCGTTGATGTCATCACGGCAGGTGCCTATGGTGCAGGCTGAGCAGCTCTCCTTCAATGGGTCGATTGACCTCAGTATGGATTATCGGGACCACGAGCTGCAGCTGGAGAACATGGCACAGGCGATCCTTCCAGAGTCGAGTTCCTGGGCGGTTCCCTTGCGGTGGGGTTGGCGGTTGTGGAGGAGTAGGGTTGGCGGTTGCATGTGTTTTTCAAGTGTATTGTGAATCTATGTGAATCTAGTGCGTGTTGAGTGTTCATGACTCATGGATGCATGCAAATCAGTCAGTGTTGATACTGATTTCAGAGCTTGCACTGCTGCTGAATGTTTCTCATCGATCAAAGCACCAACATCCCCAAAAGACTGGTGAAACAAGACGCCAACCAACATCCCAGATCCCCCCGCATTGGTCGTCGCCTGCATTCGGAAGTGGCCTGGATCGTGAGAGGTGATTTACACCTCGGGGTCTACTGGGGAGCCCAAGGGTGTCATCTACAGCCATGGGCGTTTGGCCTTCTCGACTCACTTCTTTGCAGAGCAGTGCCACGTCACACAAGGTGGGACCGGGACTGATTCTTGGAGGTTTTGTGGGGCTTGTGCTGCCACCCAGAGGGGGGCTGCTTAGAAAAGAGGTGTCGTTCAGGATGTTGTGCAGCTGTGATTCTTGAATGCTTAGTCTGTTCTGTCAGTCTCAAAGAATTGCAGACCTTGAAACTTCCCAGGGCTGCAGATGTTTGGTTTGCTAGTTGACGGGTTCAAGGAGAGAACCACCAAGAGCGTGATTGGGGATCGTGGGGGACAGAGGACGCCAGTAGCAATCTTTTTGTATCGTTGGGGCTCTTCAAGTAGGTGTATTTCTATGTGGTATATAGTAGGTGGTCCCGGTGGTGAAACCTCGGTGACCGTCATAGAGCAAATTCATATGGTAAAAGCATATTTCTGGGTGGCATCGACGGCCCTCAGAAGTCTCTTGGTTTTGGCCCTCATGGTCCCTCTCCAAGTCCCCAGCACGCGCCACGCGCCAGTGTGCTTCCGGCCCTCGTGGCCGCCAGGCACCCGCGTGCTGCAGAAGACGCCCAACATTTGGTCCGTCTTCCGGCACGAGCTCTATCCCAGCTTGTGCCGTGGTGGGCAAGTGATACATCCGGAGCCGCTGAAGGCGAGTGATCCAGTCCACTTGGCAGAGACCATCCGATCCAACTCGGTGTCTTTGCTGGTCAGGGCCTGAGAAAGTGTGGTAGAAACCGGTAGAAACCTAGGAACCTCGACCAGCCAACCATTGCAGAAGACTTAGGCAGCTAGGCAAGAAACTTGGAGCAACATCAACTTTTGAGACCTTACTCTAAAGTTCTAAAGCCACTGTTCTTTGATTTCAATTGATTTCAATGGTCTAAAAACGCTCGGACCTTGCCCTGTCTCATAGCCATCAGCAGTCTTCACACTCCAAGGTGGCCACGCCCACTGTCTTGGAGCTGATCTTGGATTCCACCACAAGCACCGCACTCTCGAGCCTGTCACGCGTGGTGTGCATGGGCGAGCCATTGTCATGGCGCCTTGTACGACGGGTCCGGCAGCAGCTGTCGGTGGAGGTGATGAACTTCTATGGCTCCACCGAAACCGTGCCTTGGCTGGGGCTGGTATGTTGGTATGGATGGCTGGCTCGCCGAAAGCCATGAGCATGAGAGCTCCAGGTGCTCCTGATTTTCGAAGCATGGAGCATGCAGGTGTCGGAAATGACCTGCAGCTCTGTGATCCACAATGGTTTTTGGAAAGCCGGCGCAAAGAGTGATGCTAACTAAAAGGGTTCTAGACTTCAATTCACATATGTTTTACCTACTTTAGACACCCTGGAAGTCCTGATGCAAGTGCTCATGCAACATGTTCTTCTCAACATGGAGGGTTGTTGCGGGTTGCGGGTCCAACTACTCTTGAGCTCAAGTGATGGATGTTGCTTCCAGGAGAACACCACCTACACGATTGCCTCAAGCCACACATCGATGCCCTCAACTGGCGTGGTGCCTGCGGGACAGCCGCAGCCCCATGTGTCCGTCCACTTGTTGAAGCCCGATTCCATGGACCTGAGCGCACCAGGCGGGGCTCGAGTAGTGATGAAAGCAGCCGGCAGAGCCAGCGGAAACGAAGGGAGCCATTTCTTTCTGGCGAAGAGAGCCTCAACCACGTGTCGTGTCGGGGACAAAAGTGATGATCGAACACAAAGCCGTAGACTCCACCGAGGTGGAACCCGGCGCATGTCCTGTCATAATTTCTTGAATTTTTCTTGGTTCTGATCTCTACTCACCTGGTTGAGGCCCGGCGGGGCGGATGTTCTTTCATCATCTTTCATCCAGATCCTCCCAAAACCTCTCTGAAATCCGGAACGCCTCGCCGAAGTCGCCGGCCCGCCGGCCCGCCGAGGCGCCGAGGGCGAGGTGTGCTTCGCCGGCGTGCTGTCCTCGGGTTATTGGCAGCGACCGGATCTCACAGCCCGGCACTTCGTGCAGCATCCGCAGCTGGGGCTCCTCTATCGCACCGGTGACCTGGGGCGATGGCAGAACCAGGAGGGGTACAGGGGTGGGGAGCTGCGCAAGAGTGGGAGACGTCGGGGAGTCGCTAGCAGGGAAGGTTGGTTTGACAGTGGTCAGACAAAAGGACTAGATGATCCCAGACCCATGAGTTTTATATATTTCCCCGAGGAAAGGCTGTTCACCAGTATTTCTGACCGTGGCCTGTTGACTTGTATGCAGCGGCCAATACCCGTGTTCCGGATCCAAAACGGGCATCCGGCCACGACTGGCCCCACCGGCGCCCTTCGTCGCCAGGAGCTGGAGGTTTTGGGTCGCTTGGATCGACAAGTGAAGATCCGTGGGTGTCGGGTGGAGCTTCAAGAGCTGGAGGCCCGAGCCGCTTGGAGCGGGTGAACCGGTGGTCTTTCACGGGTGACTGGGAGGTTGGGAGTTCGGAGCTTGAAGGCTTGGTGATGGCAAGGTGGCAAGGAGCTTGACTGTAATTTTTGTTTCAAGTATATTTTTTTCCACCCCGCTATGCAGTATGTAGTAATACAGTATATACATAAATATATGGTTTGGGTCCATTTTTCTTTTCATTTGAGAAAGTTCTTTGAGAAAACGAATCACATCGGACATGGACTGACATGGACAGTGCTCTGGAACAGTGGCGCGGGTTCATGAGTCTATTGAAGGCTTTTTGGTGTGCGGGAACTTGTTGTTTTGTCAAGGTTTCTACAGCCCCAATCAAATATCTACCCGCAGGTGAACTAGAGTCGGATGGGCCAAAACGTATTCCTGGTGATCTATGCACTCTGACGCCCCCGGGCCCCTGGGCCATCGAATGCACCTCTTCCCCCCGGGAGGTGATCTTGGGATCCATGGTGGGGACCTGTGCGGCTGTGGCGGTGCGTGGAGAGATGGAGCATCTGCCACTTGGATGGTGAGGGTCATGGCTGGGGATGGTAGCACAGATTCATTCGGAGGAAATGAATTTAGAGTAGTTTTGTACAAGCCATCTCCATTTCTTCTTGATTTCCTGTTCAACAAGCAGGATACATCATCAGATATATATATATATATATACATACACATACCCTCCTGCATTGCGTTTTATGTTTTCTTAATTGTGCTTCCTTGTTTTTTCTTCACCCTTTCTGCCCTTCTTCACCTCAGGCAGATAGTAGCCTTTGTAGGTGCTGATTGCGGCTTCGACTTGGAGACATTGTCTGAAGAGGCCTCCAAGATCCTCTCCCCGCAGCTCATGCCCTCGCTTTTCGTCCTGCTGCCGGATTTGCCACGGCTGAACAATGGAAAGGTGGACTTGGTGAAACTCAAAGTCTTAGCCTCGGACGCCTTGGCCAATCAGCCTGCTGAGACCTACGCTGTCCAAGACAGTCTTGGGGTCTTGCAAAATCTCAGTAAGTCGCAAATCGAGGAAGATCGATGGATACAGAACCAGCAAGCATTCTGGACCTTGCTCGTGATGATGCAGCACTTCGGCATCGTATGCATGGGTGGCATCTATTCGAAGGATGACTTTGGAATCGCTGTCTGGCATGTCCTGGGCTCCCTTTGTCACGCGCGTGACATGGTGGCCTTTGTGTTGCTCTTGGGCTTCACTGATGCGCGGTACGCGGCGGGGTTCAACCACCGGGATGCTGCAGTTCTGGTGGTGGCCGTGGTGAAGACTTTGATTAACCTAGTGCCTGGGCCGCTGCACGTGGGGGCTGAGTGGTTCTTGTACGTCTACTTCTGGTGCAGGATCTTGCTGGTGCTGCTTTCCAAGCTCAAGCCAGGATCTTGGCAGGTGGTGCTGCTAGCGCTGGCGGCTTGCATGTGCCCGGATGATTTCCTATGGTTGCAACTGCCGTTGGAATGGCGCGGGCGCATCGAAAATAGTGCAGGCGGCATTGACGGCAAGGGGCTCAGGCGCTCCGATTGAAAGATTTAAGTTGAACTGATCGTCACCTTGAAGTTTGGAAGAGACACTTTCAAGTTACAGACCACTAGTCTGAGAATCATAATCTTCCTTCGTGCAGCCATTTCACTGCTGAGCGCAACAAATTCCCTCTATTGCAGCTGCTTTTTGGACCAAATCCATCACAAAAAGAAACATCCGCTGTATGCACCTTGCGCCATCATGCCTTCATTGAAGAATACAGAATCGATTCGCATGACCATGACTTTAACTCTGCATCTTCGCGTTGTGCACGAAGGCATTATAAGGGGCTCTCTCTCTCTCTCTCTTTCTTCACAGCAGGTCACTTCCGTGAAGAAGTGCGGTCAATCACCAGAGACCTGCTGCAAAGTCACCTGCTGCAGAGACCTGCCTCAGTGACGTCACTGATCACCAACTTTCCCTAGACCTCATCACCATTTAACTCACCAAATCACCATAGATCACCCTGCATCATTTCTGCAATTAGTTCCAAATTGCCTGAATGACCTACTAGTATGGGACAAAACTCAGCCGCAAGCACCGTGGCACTCCGGCACCATCCACCGGAGGTCCAGCGGAGTCCACTTCGATGCCGATTAGCATCAATTCGATTATTTGTAAAATCAACTGTATCCACTTCACCACTCCAGGAGCGAAAGAGCAACACAAAAGCCACCACAAGCCCCACAGGGCCTGCTGGTACAATCACGTCCTCTTGGGAAACTTATCTCCCGTGTGCTGGAGATTATACTCAAGTGTACAGTATTGTACAGTATACTAAAATAACCAGTGAAGGAAGGGAAGGCAATGGTCAACAGACCTCTAAGAATTCTTTGTGCGTTTTACGCGGCCCTCCAGGTGGTGCGCGCTCTTCATGCCAGCTTGCTACCTCGCTGCCTTCCACTTCACATGCAGCGGAGCCTTTTCTTTGTGCAAAGGCCGTGGCATTTCGTGGATGAACCGTTGCGTGGATGGACTGGGGCACTACGTAGAGCCAGAAAGAGCACGCTGGGCTTTGGAGATTAGCTTCTCATTCGCCTGTTGGATCCTTTTTTGCTCCATGACCATTTTGACTGGCCAACTGCCTCTACCCAAGCCTGTTGGCTATCAGTTTGGATATCAAGCTGTCTATGTCGAGGATGGAGGTCTCGAGCGTGGGAAGAGTCATGGAGTGTCTTGGCACTACATGACCCATCCATCGCTCTTCTCCTACATCCTCCTGTGGATTGGTGAAGCCGGGCTCTTTGTCCTGCCGGGCATCACTGTTGCGCTGGCCATGGTGTACTTGCCCTGGCACTTCCAAACGATGGGTAGCGCCTGTTTTGGAATCTACGTGACTCATGTCTCTGTGGCTTTCTCAGATCCGATCATGCGGGCTCAGAGTGAAATCATCAAGAACATCACCAATCCTTCATGGGATCAGCGCTTGAACTTCCTGATTCTCTTACTTTGGACCATTCTCTTGTGCCTCGTCTATGCACACACTATCGGGGTCCTTGCTCATCGCCTTTTGGTCTGGACTTTGCAACACTTGGCCAAACTTCTGAGTTCTGACCGCTCGAATCGGCTGGACTACTGAGGGACTGATTCACCGAGTGCGGGGCAATCAAATGCGGCAGATTGACTGAGCGCGGGATGCTGATTTGACGGTGAAGACTATGTAAGGACTACAGAACTGTGTAAGTTGACAGCCCCCATAATCTATCATAATCTATACTTTGTTGTATCAGGCACCAGGACTGAAGGGCTGTGGGCACCAGGACTGAAGGTCCCCGATGTTTGGCAAAGGGCTAGTATTTGTTCAGAACCGTGCAGCAGGTGTGATTGCTGATTTCGAGTGGCTTCGAATGTGCCTTTCCCTTCCTCCCAACCGTCGTTTCTACCCAAATAGACATCACCTGACCGCAGTAGATTCCGTCCGGCTCGACCTGACTAGATGACTTGCCGAGGTGGCACCGGGTGCCGCCACCGGGCGTCTCCGAGGCCCCGGTGCAGGTGGTGGACGGGCCCAAATTGGCGGCACAATGCGGCACATTGGATGGGACAGGCTGCCGGTTCTTGTAACTTCTTAGGGAGATCTCCACATATTCTCCGTCATGGTGGAAGTCTCGGCCGCCGTGCGAGGTGTTTGGAAATTCACCATCGAATGCAATGGGGGGGAAGTTTTATTCTCTCTTTGCTCTTGGGAGATGTGCAAGGCTTGCAGGGTCAAGGCCAGATCTTTTGATGAACTTTCTCAAGATCTACTAATGTATTAATTCAACGTTCGATGTTCTCATTCTCCCCACGTCCTGTTGCCACGGCGAAATACGGGGGCTGTTCTTTGCTGGAACAACTTGAGCGAGGAGCAGAACTTGTAGTTTAGTTTTGGATTTTGTTGCAGACAGGACTTGACTAAGTTCTTTCGAGAAGCGGTGTCATTCCCAAAGTCAAAATTTATTCCGCTCATATTTGTGCTTTGCAACGTTGGGTTGCCTTTCGAACCTGAAACCATTCCCCTGTTGGATTCGAATGATTCAGCCCTTTGCAAGGGACGCACACGTGCTGCAAGGTGCAGACAGAAGATGATTTCCGAAGACGAGCAGTGAGGGGCGGCGTGTTCCGACAGATCTCGGGGCTCTAAGACCTACAGATAGTACCGCTGTTTGTGTTTTGAAGGCGATGGTAACATCTATAGACTTTTCTTTCTTTCCCTAGATGCAACATTCCACTCATGCGTGCGTGATTTTCTACGAAGATTAGGTAAAGGGATCAACACAAGCTTCCATGGCTGCTGTCTATTCTATCCCAACAGGCCCAAAAGCTTTTTTGAACTGCGAGTGCCGAGTGCATGGGAAAGGTATGCAGTGCCAATCGATGACATTCATAACTCGGCTTCTTTGGCCGAATCCTTGAGTTGGATAGCTGGCCACACGCTATATAAATCAGTGGATAGTGAATTTAATCAGAACATGTATAGTATAATGTTGGTACCCTAAGTCTCTAAGCCAATCAAGGGCATGTTGCCGATGTGTGACCGAATTCGTCCATGCACCAGGAAACGAATTCATCAGGGCATTGACATTGACGAATTTACTTTCCTGGACTTGCATGTTGGGAAACAGCTGGGAGACTCGGTGCCTGACAAAATGGTTTAGCCGCCACAGCGTTGCGACTTCTCGCTTGCCGCAGCTTGCTTGAAAGCTGGCCCTTGGAAGTACTGGTCAACTGGGTTGTGAATCTTGCGAACTTTGCTCATCTTGGGAAAGACAGAGCATTAAACAAAAGGTTCTTTTTCGTCCTAGTGGGGGACTTGGTGGACTTTACTAAGTTATACAACGAAAAGGAGCCGCAAAAGCCAAGTGTTGAGCATTTTTGATGTGATTTCTACAGCGTGCTGTGGGTTAAGGTCTGGCGCAGTGGTCTTGTTTTTGTCCGATTCGCGTGGCTCGGTCGTTCTTCTTTGGATCAGCTGCATCAAAAATACGTTGTCCGATGTCTTCTTTATTACCAAACAGATTTCTTCATACTTGATTCTTTTTTTTCCACCCAGGTCTTTACTTTCTTTCCACTTGCTTTCGCTGTTTCATTTCACTTCTGCCGCTCTTTTCGCTCTTTTTGTCTTCATGGCATGACGTGGATCAAGAAACACTGATAAAAGCTGAAGCTTCTCAAAGACCGCGAGGAAACCGACATCTCTATTGGGGTCGAGGAAAAGCGTGCGCCCATCTCTTCACATTGGATCTGACAAGTTTGAAAGTCCAACGTGCGACTCCTGCTGGACCTGTATTTGGCCTTACACCCGATGCGTTGGAGGCCAATGACTGGTGCTCACTCGAACGAGTTCGCTTGACAGGTATCCTTTGTAATTCTTAACTGCGATCTGTTCAGAAACAGGTTGATGGTCTTCTTCGGGTTTGTCTGGTCAGCACAAGATGCAACATGCCGCTGCTGTGTAGCAAGGATCTTCTGTGTGCATCTCTCGTGGCAAGCACGTTTTCCACCTGTCAGACACGACAATGGACGAAGAACGAAGCTACTTTGGTACTTCGACAAGTGCGACTCTGTATGCTCTAACATTGGATACAGAATCGAAATGAATATGAATACATGTATGCTGCATGCTGCATGCTGTCTCGTTGTTGCAGCTTTTTTGAACAGCCATGAACATACAGACTCTAATACAAACCAACATGTCCGCCGCGCTTCGCGACTGCCTGATCCAATGGTTGGACACAAATTCCGTGGCACAGGAGCTCGATGCCTTTATCAGGCCCTGAGACAGCAGTGGTGCTGTTCAATTTGGGGATGTGTCAATACCTGGAGCCCCAGCACCATGTAGCTCAACCTTCCATTTTGACCTTCCAGGTTCCATAGTACTTGGTTGATCGTGATAGAGGGAAAGTTTCAAAGATGGCTGCACTGTCTACTGGGGGTCCATCCTCCTACCAGTGCAACGTTTTTCCCGCAACCCAAATCTAAGGGAACGCCGGAACGCCAATGATTGAATCGGAGTGTGGATGTCAGTGGCAATCATCAAGCCAATAGAAGCTAGCAAATATACCGGGAAACCATAGGCCTAGGGTGTTTCGCAGGAATTCCTGCAACATTGAAACACCTTCAAGAATATACCAGCCTGGGAATTGACAGTGGCCGTTTTTGAACTGTGCCACAATATGTTGAGACCACACAGAATACAAGGGTATGGCTCAAAAAGTGAATGGCGATCTAATCAATCCAGAGACAATACTAGTTCTTCCTTGCTCCAGTATGTCATGATTTCTTTACCTTTGTTGGATCAAATTTGTAGTTTCTCCCGCCAATGCTCGCCACAACGGTCAAACCAGCCAGATCTCTGCAGGCAGCATGCCGCCCAGTTCGAGGGGTCGGAGGAGCTGCTCGGAAGGATGCCACGTTCGCCCACGGAGGGTTTGTTTGGGTGAAAAAACCATTTGAGCATTGTGAGGATGGAGCATGATGGCATGAGAAGTTGCGAGGCCCCCTGTTTGATTCAGGAAGGAGAAGAAGCCCTCCGACCTCAAAGGAGTGGACTTCGGGTGGTTGGACGACGTGCACTGTTGATCCTACCGAGCTAGATGTTTTCCAATGCATACTTTCGAGGCCGACGAGCACTGACCAAATTGGGCACCACTGCTCCAAGTATCCAGGAAGAATGGTTGCCTCAAGAGGGAATTACAGGCAGGACAAGGTTGCTTGGGTTCTTGGTCTACGTGAGTGTGATGTCTTCCGTCATGGTTGAGTGCTGTCTTCGGTCTTCTTCTCAGATCTCGGTGATTTCTTCTCGCCGACCAAGGCAGTGCCATGGAGGCTTCGAGACCTTCCAGCGCTACGAAGCTTTGGTGGATCGCCTGTTGAACGAATTCCTGGAGGTGTCACTCTCGGCGGTGAGCGGTTGGGTGGACTTCTATGGTTCTTCTTGTGGAGCCGACCGACCGTGGAGTGGTCGGGCAAGTGATGCAGAGTGAGGATCGAGTGAAATTCCACAGAGAACTAAACTACTCGGGGTAATTGAATGTGTGGCAAAAAGTCCCAAGGTCGATGGATGATGAGGATGCTCAAACATCTGCAGTCAAACCTAAAAAAGAATAGGTTGAAGAGGTACTGGGATCTCTTTCTCAGGTCGTGCAGGACTTCTTGCCGTAGATACCTGCACCACAGGAGCACCGGAGAGACCTTCACCTCGCCGGGATCGAAGGCCGGCAGAGTCGGGGGTGCGGGGCGGGGGGGTGGAGTGTTTTGTTTGTGCCACATGACTTTCACACATCACGTGGGCGTGTATTTTAATAGACACCCAACCCATTGGGTATATAGACAGGTCTATTTCTCTTCTTCCAGGCGGTCGAACTGGGAGGTCTGCCTATTTTGGTGCAGGGTCTTGCTTCGCTCTTCTGGACTCAGATGGACAAGAGGGACTTTTCTCATTGCGACCGGAAAACCCGACAGCGGGCCAACCGGGTCCATTCGTGATCGTCCCGGCACGTTTTCTTCATGGGCGCGGGGGCCAACGCGGGTCCGCGGCCAGGGTCCTCCTCCGTGCGGCGTGTCTTGCGCGCCTGGGCGGAGGAGGGTGGTGGGTGCCACTCGCAAGGGCTGGAGGCGTTAATGAGGGTGACCTGCTACGAGGCGCGGGCCAGAGGGTTGGGGTGTTGGGCTTTTGGGCGTGGTTTCGGTGACGTAAGGGTAGGTGCAAGGGCAAGAGAGGGGGATGGAACCTGTAGAAAATCAGCTGTCGAAGGCATCGAATTGTTTGGGGAGTTGTGGAGGACGGCATTTTTTTATGGAGACAACTACACTAGAGACTTCGAGTCAGCCAGCTCTCAATACCACGAGAGTTTATTTTTTTTCACTTTGTTTTTGCTTTTGAGTGCGAACAAAAGTATGATTCTAGGGCATTGGTTTGTTTTTTCTTTGATTTTTCTTTGATTTTGTATCTCAGTCAGTGGTTTGGCACCTTTCTCTGGGCCAGAGTCTGCTGGAATCCAAAAACCTTGCAAAACCTCGAGAATCTTTGATTTTTTTACGATTGTGTTACAATTTCCATGGTATTTACAATGGTTTTTGGGCCAAATCGTAAAAAAACCAAAGATTCTCGAGGTTTTGCAAGGTTTTTGGATTCCAGCAGACTGTGGCCCAAAGAAAGGTGTGGTATAAATGTTGATGTCTTCCAAAACCTTGCAAAAACCTCGAGAATACTTGATGTTTTTTACGATTTGGCTCAAACACCATTGTAAATACCATGGAAATTGTAACACAATCGTAAAAAAATCAAAGATTCTCGAGGGTTTTGCAAGGTTTGGGGATCCCAGCAAACCTCACACCTTTCTCTGGGCCAGAGTCTGCTGGAATCCAAAAACCTTGCAAAACCTCGAGAATCTTTGATTTTTTTACGATTGTGTTACAATTTCCATGGTATTTACAATGGTTTTTGGGCCAAATCGTAAAAAAAAAAGATTCTCGAGGTTTTGCAAGGTTTTTGGATTCCAGCAGACTGTGGCCCAAAGAAAGGTGTGGTATAAATGTTGATGTCTTCCAAAACCTTGCAAAAACCTCGAGAATACTTGATGTTTTTACGATTTGGCTCAAAAACCATTGTAAATACCATGGAAATTGTAACACAATCGTAAAAAAATCAAAGATTCTCGAGGGTTTTGCAAGGTTTGGGGATCCAGAGTCTGCTGGAATCCAAAAAACAAACAACAAAGCCATTGAAACAAAAACATTGAACAAAAACAAACAATACCAACAATACCAAAAAGGCAAAAAAAAGAACAAAAAAATAACAAACAATAATCATAAAATAATCATACTTCAATTCAAAGAAAAACTTGAAACCATAAAACAAAACAAAAAAAACAAAGAAACATCATACTCCCAAATCAAATCATAAATCAAATCATATCTGGATAAAAAAAAAACAAAGAAAAACAAAAAACAAATAAAATCCAAGAATCTTGAAGCTAGCTAACTTTCGAAGTTACTAAACTACACTACAATTACCCAGGTCAGATGAGATGAGACTTCGGGCCATTCCTGGATGTATGTCCGACGACTCCCCTCAGATCTCCGGGTAGTGTAGGATATAATAGTCTAGTATATAATATGTATACACTATATAATACATACTATATGTATTGATGTAGGCGTATAAGCGTTAACATTGTGAAGTGTGAAACCTTGAAATTGTGGTGCGCAGGGTGGTGCACAGGGTGGTGCGCAAGAGGGGGGGTCAAATTGACCCTGCAAAATTGGTGCTTAGAGGGGTGCGCAGGTGCTCGGAGGGGTGCGCAGGGTGGTGCGCAGGCGGGGGTCAGATTGACCTTCAAATAGTTGTGCTCGGAGGTGCGCAGCATGGTGCGCTGCTCATATTTTGGGCGTCAAAAGCTGGCACGGAAATCTGTAGAGCTCTCGAAGTAAATTGGCGGAAAACAGTGTGCGGAGGTGTGAACTGGTCGAAAATGGGCTAAGCTGGATAAACTCAGCGCGTTAAAAGCTGGGACGGAGGCCAATGGAACCCAACCGGAACTCAACGGAACCCATTCATCACTGAACGGAACCTAACGGGACACAATGGGAATTCAACGGAACCGAACGGAAGTCAACAGAACTCAACGGAAAGGCTCCAAACCCAAATCAATTTGTGGAGGGGTGAAGCTGTGAAACGGTCAAAAAACTGGCTAAAACTCAGACGTTAGAAACACCCAACCGGAACTCAACGGAAGCCAATGGGGTCAGCGGAACTCAGCTGGGACGGAAGCCAGTGGAACCCAACCGGAACTCAACGGAACCCAATGAGAATTCAAGGGAAGTCAACGGAACTCAACGAAAAGGTTCCGAATTGAAATCGAAAAAAATTGTGGCGAAAAAAATGTGTGGAGGGGTGAGATTGTCCAAAAACGGGCTAAAGTCTGGGTGTTAAAAGCTGAGACGGAAGCCAATGGAACCCAACCGAAACTCAACGGAACCCAATGGGAACTCAAGGAGACTCAACGGAAGTCAACGGAACTCGACACAAAGATTCTAAATCGAAGAAAATTGAGGAAAGCAGTGTGGAGCAGTGACATTGTCAAAAAAAAACTGGCTAAATTCTGAGTGTTAATGGCTGGGACGGAAGCCCATGGAACCCAACCACAACCCAATGGAGCCGAAGATTTTGTAAACAAATCCAGACGCAAACATGTCAAACTTCCTGTATTTTACAAACGCAAAAACGTGTGACTGACAACGTTGCCGATCTATTTTTTTTTAATGTCGCCCGGAGCCCCTCTGCTGCTCAATTCAAAATAAAATTTGTAGTTTTGTTGACTTGCTATCAAACTGATTAAAAGGTTTAGAATTTATTGTTCAATACTCTGTGAAGATGTTTCTTGAACTTTCTCCTTCATTCCAGACTACTGCTGAGCACGGGCCAACTCAACTGTTGTCAATATGAACATTTCAACTCATTCTTTCATTCCTGACTAAGCACGGGCCAGGAAACTATTGTGTAGAGACGAGACAAAATATTCTCACCGTGGAAAGATTCCTGCGGAGAGTGTCCTTTGACTGCGGTGCCTCATTCCTTTAAAGCTGGTCCGAACACGCGTGGTTTGTCCCTGTTTGGGACGAATGGCTCCGGAATCCCAGATGCTGCGAATTGGAGGATGTCACGCGATGGAAATCTAGGAGATGAACACATTGGGCATGGTGGCCTTTCCATACTCACCTGCACCACATCCGCGAGTGTACATTTGTTTGACCTCGTTCCTTGGGCGGACGGCTTTCACATCGCAGCGCAGGCACTAAAGCGTGAACCACATCTGCTATAGGAGGCGATTAACGTCTTTTTATTGGTGTATATTGCGTAGATATGTACATATCGGTGTACATTATATGTAAAATGTGTAAATATAGTGTACTTCATATGTATATACTATATAAAAATATACGATATATGATATATAAGATAGTACTATAGTACCCCTGCGCTTTCTGAACATTTGGCACCCCTTGTCTTGCTTCCTTTCGGCCAGGAGTACCTGGAAGCCTCCATGTGCGCGCAACGCGCCGCAGAGCTGAAGGCCAAAGAAATGCTTCAGCGCCTGGCGGTGCAAGTGGCCGGAGGCGACGTAGCGGGAACCTTTCGCCTCCAACCCTCCGGTGTTCCCAGCAAAAGTGCCAGCGTTGCGCGCGGGCTGGAAGACGTGATGCTTCTGGGAGGGCCTGCCTTTGCATGTGGCAGATCAGAGCTCCCCTTTTGGGTACAGGGTGTGACAAAGCAAGGCGGCCAGGTTCCAGATCGTCGTTTGAAGTTTCGGAGTCCAGTGAACAGGATTCCTTCGAGTCAGGGCCTATTTAAGGGGTGTTTGTTAGTGCCAACAGGAAGCTTGGATATTTCAAGGCACTCAAAAGCTTTCGGGGTGCTGGAATGAAAAGACTTTGTGTGGAGTTTATTAGACCATCAGGTTCAACATCTACTAGCTAGATGTTCACATGGGCCAAGGGCTGACATGGCCCAATCCATGTTGAGATGTTGCTTCTCACCACTCAGAGACCTGAAGTCAAGGTCCCATAGTGCCAGCTGTCCTGGCAGGTCTCGTATGGAATCGTCCTTTGAACTGGGCGATGTTGGAAAGTGATCAATGTGGCCAACGTCAGATTTATGTCTAAGTAACTCCACCAGAGCTGTTTGCAGCCAGCTGGGGCTCGTGCTTCCAGTTCCAACTGCTGCAGTGTGACATTGACCCGAAGTTGGGGTCCTGTCTCCCTGGTGTTGCATGTGGATTACACAGTGTACACCTCTGTTCCACGAACCATCTAACCATGTTCACAGTCGATTCTCCACACGTTCTTCTCGTTCTTCTTGATGTGCCGGCGATCCGCTGCTCGGAAACCAGGCCTCGCAGCCGCTGACCCGGACGCGCGCCTCGAAGCGGCGACGACAGGGCGACCCACGGCCTGCTTGGTTCGGTTCTGCCGGGCGTGGTCCGTCGGGTCCGACCGGCGCCGTCGCTCGGTTTTGGCGCACCGCGATCGGCTCGGTCCCGCCAGGTCGCCTGCCTTCGTGCCACCTCTGAGAGGTTGGGCGGGGCGGTTTGGGGCGGTTTTGGGCCGTGCGGTTTGGGGTCCTTCGGAGAGAGAGAGAGGTGTAGCAATTTTGATCCCCAAAGACCTGCTGAAAGCCTCAGGCTTTAGTGGTTTGTACGCTTTCATCCTTGCAGCGTTCTACAAAAAGGGGCACAGTATCCAGTTCAGTTCCCTCAGCAGGAGGTGAAGAATTGGGCTGAGAAAAGCATTGCATTGTCTTTCTTGATAGGGGATGGAATTTCCTCTACAGAATCGCGGGGGTTGGGACCCCGATAAGACAATTTTTTTAGCAACTTTTTCTTGGCTCATATGGAGGTTGTAAAGTCCTGTCCTTCAAGAGCCTCGATTTTATAGAGAATTGTGGTTTTTTACAAGCTTGATTTTATAGAGGTTTATAAGTATAGTGAAGGGATTCTGGATGTCTTAGGCATACTGATTCTATAGAGAATTATTTGCATGATTTTGCATGTTAGGAACTGCAATTCTATAGAGATTGTTTTTTCTTGGCTTGATTCCAATTGGGATTGCTCAAAAGAACCCTGGGGAATGGGTTCTTGGATGAGTCAGGATGACGCATGATGACGCTAACAAGTTTGGAGCATCCTAGCAAGTGAACGCCTTATATGAAACACATTGAAACACTTTGGAAAATCTTAATGCATCCTAATGCAATACATGTCAATTTCACTAAGGGACAGCATCTGGACACATCTGGACACTATAAAATCAGAGATCATCACAGATCCTTACCTCTCCAATCCTCTCCATAACACCTGCTGTCTTCTCTATAGATTTGTGGTCCTACCAACTGGCAAATCAATACCTTCCAAGGAAATTGCATTTTTATGTTTTGTTGAGACCCCTGGACCTTGATTCTATACAGAACCAGGTTCTTACTAGGTATTTTTGAGACCCATGTACCTTGATTCTACAGAGAACCAGGTTCATACTACAACTCGACCACACCTGTTCGGGAGTACCTTGGGACCTGCATTTTTATAGACAAAAACCATCAATATTCACAACTTTCAACAGCTTTTGACAGACTAATGGCCCTCAATTCTATAGAGCTGAATCTTTGTATTTGGGCTCTTTTCCTATGTTATCCTCAATTTTATAGGGTCCAAAAGTGACCCTCATTGGAGGGGGGTTGGTCCCAGCATTTTAGCACTATAAAATTGCACCCCCCGAGGTACCCACTTAATAATTCCAACCCCGATCTTTCTTGTATCTACTAAGCAGCATGGCAGGGCGTGTGTCAACTTTGTTAGGCCTGGCTGGTGCCGTGATGAGTGTCTTCATGACATGGTGAATGGGAGAGTAATCATAAGATGCAATGCAGGTTTGCAAAACCACTCTAACAAGTCCATTCAGTCCAGTCCATCTGTGTCTTGCTCAGGGCCGACGGCGACCGCTAGCCCGCCGTAGCTGTTGCAAAAGTCAGCTGGGCGCAAGTAGAGTCGGGGAAGGTGTTTGAAAGCAAGCTCCAGGATTCAATTCTTGAGGTGAGAGTTGTCAGCTGGCACAAAAACACACTTGATCACTCAATGTGGAAGACTGTGCATCAAAGACTTCGGTGGCCCGGTAGGTCGACATGCAATTGGGAAACAGACGCGCTGGTACTGAACAACAGGGCGCTGTGTACTGACCCTTCGTCCTTTGCGGCCTGTGCCTTTCGTCACAGGGTGAAGCCTGCACGGCCAAGTCCTGCTCCTCCGAAGCTGCAGACTGCAGTCAAAGCAACATGCTAGACACATGCGTGATGAACTTTCAGTGTGTGACCGAGCTTCCTGAGAGTTCAACAGAATATACTTATAGAGGTTCACCATGGTTCACCCTATCTTGTAATAGCTTTGGGAAGAATCCAGTTCAAAAAGGTGTGTTTCCATTGGCTCCCCTTGCTTGCAGTGCTTTCGCCATTCTCAGACACTTGAAAAACCGAAAGCTGGTGAGACCGAGAGCCTGAAGCTGTTGGAGAGCCCTGGGGCATCCCGTGCCGCCGCCATGTGACGGAATGCCGACACCCTTCGAAGTCCAGGAGCACCGACGCGCGGACATCGGGTCGCGACCGACGCTGGGAGTGGAAGGTTTACCTGGTTAGGCAGAGGGGCGTTGAAGTGGACAGGTTCACTGGTCATCCGCAAGAACCAAACTATTGATACTAAATTCCAGATGATTTGAGATGGGGGTCGCATCTCGGAGAGAGGCATTGACCAGGTTAGGACCACAAGCAACCTTGCATTGGGACCTACAGTATGTGAAGTTGTGAGAGGATAAAGGGTCGGGTAAGGTTCTTTTTCAACTCAAACTCACCTCTGCGGTTGTGCAGGTGGTTTGGAGATTTGGTGCGAGTACGAACCGCCCAAATAGAGATACCATGGAATAACCATTACATAGTCAGTGTCTTTCGCTCTGTCCGATTCCTAACAATTGGTGGTAGTAACACTATATCGCCTTTGCTTCGCCAGTCACCCTGTTTTCGGCGTTTGATCTAGTGCCAAGAAACGATGAGTGACGTTGCCAAACCCATTTCCCAGGACCGCCTTTTTGGAATGCACTCAATCAACAGACTTCGCAGCATGTTGCGACTTTCTGCGGTAAAAACAAGTGGAGTGTGTTTGTCAAGTTACGTGGGCATCAGCTTAGCCTTCCAAGGCCCCAAAGCTTTGATGTGCGTTTTGCAGGAGCATGCTCGCTCCTGTTCGGCCTCTTCGACAGACCGCTATGTAGGCTTCGTGGCGGGTTCCGGCCATTCTGGGTTGGTTGATGTTGGTTGGTCGGTTGGGTTGGTAATGGGGTTCGTGACGAGTATGGCTTCATGATGCTTACTGTAACTGAGTTGGTCCAACTGACAGGGGCCTCCATGAATCTTAAGGTAAATATGTCGGTGAGGTGAGGTGTTTTCCAAAGTATTTGAACCTGGATTCCAGGATCCACCCCCAGGACAAGGCCCACGGAAGTGCATGAACGAAAGGCATTCGTGCACTAAATAGAGGAACTGTTTGCTCGCCCTTTTTTTGACCGTTGTTCTTTATTTTGATCGGTGATTAAAGTTGTTGCCAGCACTATACAAGCTTGGTTATGCTTTTACGCATCTGTGGTTCCAGCTGTGCCTTTGAAACATGGCATTGGTTTGCCCTTGCTTCTGGCATTTGGTGTATTTCCATCCTTCGCCCGAAGAAACAATTTTGTGACTGGGGTGAACAACGGCTTGAGCATCACTGCACCTGGCCAGGCAAGGTTTCGTCATCATGTTCGCCACCTTTCCTTTTCCCCAATGCTTGGAGATGGACAGATTACACCTGTCACATCTTGTGTGGCTCTTAGGCGCGCAGCTACAGCTGAACCTTCTCGCTTTTGTGGAACATGTTCTGTGGTCGTTTGACACCAGACTTGGACTGTATCTACCAGGCGTTGCAAGATCTTAGCCTGCCTACCATCAATCCACTCGGTGGTTCGCTTCTTCTCGTCGAGGTGATTGTCAGCGAGGGTTGTCGCGTAGCTGCTTGCTTAGGCATCGGCTGCCTGGCTTCTTTCCCAACGCCATGGTTTCGACTGGTCTGTCTGGGCTTTGAGCATCTCCTTGATGGGCGCAAACAAGATCCAGGTTGCAGGTTTTGATGCCTTTGCCGTGTTTGAGTTGGAGGAGGTTCTTCCAAACGGTGTTCTTCCTCCAGGTGGTGCTCAGGGGAGACAAGTGCTCTAGTCGCACCTGTGCCTGTGATGGTTCCGGGATTCGGAGTTCTGCCCGGTGATGCCTGCGACGATGCGAAGACCCGCTGCCATTCGTTGAAAACACCTAGCGACGTCAGTAGTCACGTCGCGCCATGTAGCGAAGACCCGTGCCTGGTGGTTCCACACACCAGTGGTGTGCTTTGTTTGGATGATTTCATTTGGCCTGATGTGTGTCCATTCCTTGGGGGTAATTCCTCTCAACCAAGAGCTTCCTTCCTTGGGGTGGGCTTGTCAGGAAGGTGGGGGTTCGGGCAATTGGGTTTGGATCTTTGCGCACTCCCGTCTGTGGGCAATGGGTGTCAGTTGCTCCACAGTTGGGACATGGATCTTCGTTGTGTTTGTGCTCTGCCGTGAGCAGGGTTCCTTGGACCACCATGTCCAAGTACGGGATGACCGTTGTTTGTCTTGGAGCCGCAACTTGTGGAGTCTGACTCTGGCATGGTTGAACTCATTGAACGAAACCAGCTTGGTGCATGCCATTCGGCCATTTGGGTCAGGCCCTTGACTCCCCATTCGCTTGTTTTGATCCAAGGGCCAGTTCTCCCGCAAAGCGTCACTTATAGGTAGGGGGTGAAAGAAAACGATTGGTTTAGAGTTTAGAGGTGGCCTCTGGATGTCAAGTTGAAGGTGGGCAATGCAGGCCATGCCAGCCGTGCCATGAGTCGTTTCCGTTCTGGACCCGCGGTGCAGGCACGGAGGCTCCGAAGCCGGAGGAGGCCTGGAAGCGCCAGCTGTTGGGGAGTTTCGATTCTCTTTTTCCCAGGATCCAAGAGAGGTGAAGTGACCTTATGGGGGTACCTATGGGATATATAGTCTATAGGCTATATAAGGGTTCTTCAACCTCTGTTGGGTTTCCTTGGTCTTTTGATGTGACGGATGGAGGTAAGGCTTCACTCGGAGCTTCTGGGGTCAAAACCCCAGTGTTGCCCCCGTGGTGAAACGCCCGCAACCACCGTTGAGCCATGAACAGTGCCTCGGGTCGATTCCATTTTGGGATATGAACACCCGAGTATATACAGGTTTTGTGCGAAGACAAAAGCAAGGCACCCCTCACGAGACGTTAGCTTGGCCACGCTCAAGCCTTGTGACCAGGGCTTGCGCGACGAGCAATACTGGCGTCAGGCCATTGAGAAGGTGGGGGGTTCGCGAACATGGGGGTTGGTTTGGAACCTAAAGAAAACGATCTTTTCCTCCCGATCTTTGCGCCCACCGGCGAATTGCGGTCTGGCCCGACGCACACGTTTGGGGGGTGCCACCCCAAGGGCAGCTCTACCCAGCGGCGGAAGGATTCCGGTCGTTTTTCAGTGTGCTTTTTGTTTTTTGGACGGAAGACACAATGAAGAAGCTGTGTCCATCGAATGGAGCCGAGTCTCTGAGTGAAGCAGAGTGACAATTCGATGGATCAAAGACATTCTCGTAACTCCCGGAGTTCGATGTCGGGCTGGCTCTGGCTCTGTACGTAAGGGAGTGGATCCATGTGCGTGTCACTGGAGGAGTCATGTCCGCAGCGGCCGTTGCGGCCGTGGCGGCCGATTCTCAATACCAGTCCTCCACCTTTTTCGGTGTCACTTCTCTCGGATGAACCAAAGGTTGTATTCTCCATGTTTTCCGGTTGGTCCATGGGGAAGCAAACATCAGGTTGTTTGAACTCGCTGTGACGCTGTGGGTCAAAACCAGAATACTTTGGTTGACCTACCTGGAAGGTCTAGCTGCATGGTGGACTGTCCTGCTCCAAGTTTTGACCCATCACCATGGTCATGGTATGTCAGAATGGGGTGGCTTCACATGGATGATCGTTTGGGGAGGGGAGACCGAAGGATATACTGGTGGATATACAACGACAGGTGGAAAAAGGAACCTCCAGTGCAGCAGCTCTTACCATCAAGCTCCACCAGAACCCCAAAAGAAATGGTTCACAGCAATAGTCACTGGACTCCAGGTCCATGCTATTCGATCGATATGGGTGCAGGATTATGAGATGCTTGGTCACGCGCCGCTGGCCTTGCGCCAAGATCGGGAGCTCCTTGGCCGGAGAACCACAGCCACCTGGAACCTCAAACAACATCAAACAACCAGAAACAAATGGATGTTCCAATATGTTCCAAGTTCTGCCGCCAGCTTGCGATCCTTTACATAGCAAGTGGTTGGGACTGTGGAGTTCCATCCAGAACTGTTTCTGGTTGGGACGGATGTTGTTTGGATTTCCAGGCAGCGGTGTGGGAGGCGGTGCTAGGGAGGCGGTTGGGCGAGGTCAGCTGCACATGCTGCGAGACTCTCGACAAAGACTATAAGACTCCTGTATTTTACTGCTAAGCATTGTACACTATATATATATATTATTAAATATAGGCCTCTTTACCTCGTACGCTTGGCTCAAGAAAAGGTGTGTGCTTACGGCTGATAACCTCCTCAGACTCTATCCAATCATGGTTCCGTGAGTTGATGGGGGATAGACTCGGATAGACCCAAGTGACTCCAGTCTCGGAGCCAAATCGCCTGTTTTTTCCCCATCAAAGCAGAGGTCACAATGGGTTTCTACGGGGGGGATAGGAGCCACCCTCGCAATGGTATATAGTTAATCTTTCTTGCATTCACAACCTCATGACAAGCTCATCCCCAAGGACAAATTATGATTGTGAGTGAACGGTAAGACAATGAAAAATCCCTTTATGTTTATTCATTGTGGATTTTTCATTAAAGATGAGAGAGGAATACTATTATTTTCCGTGAAATCTCTTAAAGAAAAGTAATGGCACAAGATGAAAGAATAGCTACTGTACCAATCCATCATAATTGGTTTGGGTTATGGAAAGAAAGTAAAACCCCAAATTAACAGAGACGACGGGCCAAGGCTGCTCTCGAAGCTGCTGGCGAAGCACGGACTTGCGCTGATGCACTGCACCGGACTGCGCGGCGACCGGCCGGGGGCCTCAGGACGCCCCGCCGCAACGGTTGCCTAAGAGTGCAGTGAGTACAGTGTTGAGCTCCACCTGGAGGTGGATGTTTCTTTTCCCTTCTCCTCACTTGCAAGACCACCACAAAAAGGCTGCCGGGTCTTCTACAGTACCAGACAGGCTTGTTTCAACTCCTGGCAAGATCTTGGCGCGCTATGACTTTTTACTACTTTATTGAACAACCTCAAAACTGATGGTTGCATGAGTGAATGATCGAATGGTCACATAGTTTGGCGGAGCACTGCTGGATATGTATCATCCACCTACATCTCAGGATTCACCCAGGATGTTTTCATGTCCTCTCCCAACCAAAAAGGCCCAGCCATGCTTGTGCAGAAGGTGGATAAGAATGGGCATATAGGCATCTCAGAAGAGTGATGTGAATGAAGGGATTTCGATGGGTTGAAACATGGGAAACCTTCTGGGTGTCCTTTTCGATTTTTGGTAGATTCGGCTAGATCCCCGGTCTGGTCGAACGAGGGTAGAACTTGGGTCGTCCAACTTCACTCTGATGCTTCGCCTGATGCTCCGCCTTTCCTCGTTGTTCTCAGCCCAAGCCTTGAGCCCGGCCGCGTCCCCGCGCCCATCTTTGCCTAACATCGATCGATGGTTGAGGCTTCTCGATTTGTGTTTGAGCAGACGCTTGGCCATCCAATCCATACAGAGGCCGTTTTGGTGGCTTCAGGCCATGCAAAGAGCAACAATCGGTCAAATGGTATCACAGAGGACTTCAGGTTGTGTATATATATATAGAGGGGCGGCGTGTTAGTTAGTTCTTTTGTTGCTTTTGGCTTTGCTCAAGTCGTCTTGAGTTGGCTTTCATTTTTCCTTGCCCAGGATGCTGTCAGTAGCCTTCCGCCCAAACCCATGAGGTGCCGCAATTCCATCCAGAGGTTTCTCCACTCTTCCTCAGTTCACGCGATCCTAGTAAACTTGGAATTTTGGGCACCTCACAGACGATGTGCCACTTGACCTCCTTTCTCGAAGAGAAATACCTCTTCGGGCCGCGTTTGGCCCCCACCGCCCCATCACTGTCCGGAGAGACCACCTCTATCCGACAGACCTCGCGATTCGCGACGGGATCCGGGATCCGAGGATCGGTGGGCGATGCAAGCTGGTCTGCCAAGATGATGTCCGTTCGGTGATCGAGACTGAAGAACAGCGGAAGATGCGGCAGGAGCCGAGATTTTTGTGGGACGGCCGCTGCCTCCGACCAACAGGGAGACTCCTTTTTTGGACCTCGGACTGGAGTTGACGATTTTGGGAGGAAAATCAACAGGAACTCTGTGACGACAGAGAAAGAAAGCAAAGATTTGGGAGGAGTCGTTTGGCAACTTGAAGTACTACATGTAAGCCACACAGTAAGCACTACAATGATCTACAATGTGTAGAGGGACCTCTGGAAACTTGCAGGAGGAACCCTGCAGCGAAATTCTTCCCTGCTTCTTAGCTTCGGTTTCTCCGTCTCCAGGCCAAGTGGCAGGAGGCGCAGAAGCTGCAGAAGCAGCGGCGCAAGGTGGTGCTGCAGGAGCGGAGGGTCAAGGTCTTGGACTTCTTGAGGTGCCGAACGCGTCGCCACGGAAGCTTCGGTCGGAAAATAACGGCGGACCGGAGAAACAGCGTGAACGTGGCACACTTCGATGCAGGTATTTCGAATCATCCCAGCTTGGCAAATTGATTAGCGAGAGGCAACAGATTGGGAGGATTTCTCAGATCCTGTCGAGCCTGACAATGACACAGAACCAGCATTTTGGCATTTTAACTTCAACCCATCTAGATACTAGCTCAGCCAGCTTTTGAATCAACCCAGGCTAGCGTCTCCTCAGTTTGAGTCTCACATGCTTATTGAGGCTGCAGAACTGATGCCTCTTGTGAGTTTTTGGTTTTATAATTGGAACCCTCCTACCGGGGCAGGGATGGTTTTCTTCCTTTGCCTCCCCAAAACTGAAACCCGCTCAGATGCAAGAAGTTCAACTCCGATGTGAACGCGGCCAAGACCAGCTGCTGCGGGTTGGTCTCCACCTACCCCTTGAAAGAGGCTGGCCAACCTGATGGATTGCTGAAGGGATGGTTTGACCTCAACAGGCGCCTGCAATCACACAGGAAGACTTGTTGGCAAACTAACTCCTGTTTATGGTCTTTAAAAGGAAAACATCGGAACCTAAAAAAGGAAACCACCCATCTGCGCAAGGCGGCACGGGAGAAGCACTGGCCAATGGTGCTTCTGCTGTTGCAGTTCGGGGCAGATGCCCAGAAAAAGGACTGGACGAAGGGAGTGTGTGTGGGAGGCAGAAAACGTTCTTTTTCCTTCGGGCTTGCAGCTCACCAAGCACTCACAAGGGCGATGCTTCCAAACCAATTCTTCATCAGAGCCTGTTCTGGCATCCTCTTAAAACAATGGAACAAGAATAAGTACTGATTTTGAAACAAGTAGTACCAGGATGTACCAGGTGGGTTTGGATCAACATGGCCATCATATTTGGAAGAAAACAGCTCATCTTCGCAGAATCAGAACCACAAGAAAGATCATCCGATTTGGAACATCCATAGCACCGGCCTTCATGATCAAAGGCTTTCAGAAAGCGCACCGGATTTGGACCAATACAGAGCACGGATCGGGCGCTGACCCCGAGACTCTCGGTGACGTCACAGTCGTCAGTGACGCCACAGAGGACAGGTTGGGATCCCTTCCCCTCCCCCAGGGCCTCCAAGCGGAGCTTCATCTATGAGAAAGCTTTGCTGGGAGGTTCGAAGGTTTCCCAACTAACTACAGCTGTTCCAAATTTTTGAAAATATCTTCCCACGCAAGGACTTCTGAATGCGGAATCCCTTCCCTGCGCTTTTGGAGCCCTGAGCAGGGAGCACCCAAAGGGTTTTTCTGCACCTCTTATGGACAACGTTGTTTCTACAAGAATCCGCAACCTGACTTAAATGCCCCACTTTATCGTTTGCTTAAATTTGGCAGTCACCCCACAAGAGAGCTCAATTTCGCTTAGGGCTTAAGGGGGACGCCGGGAATTCTCTGAAGCACCTCTTCAGGGTGAGAGGATGCCGAAAAAAAAGCAGCAGTGTGGATGTCGAAGTGGTCCATGCCACGGGCTGCGGCATCTAGATCAAAAGAAAAAGGAACATGGCCATGACCAGTAAAAAACCTCGAACAGGAACAAACAACACTTCATCTTGAGTAGGTCGCCTAGTCCATTGGTTCCCTGTTCCTTTGATCCCCTACTCCTTTGGTCCCCTAGTCCATTGGTCGGTCCCCTGGTCCATTGGTCCCCGGTCCCTTTCCTGGTCCTTGTGGTGGTCCGCTGGCCTCGTGATCATTGGTAAAAAAGTCAAAGACACTTTTGTGGCGGCCCTGCTGCTGCTGCTGCTGCTGCTGTCCTTTTACCTTTCATTGCTCACATTTTTTTGATCCCTTTCTTTTTCCCTTTTTGATCCCCATCGAATATTCTTCAATCGATGCTGCTCTTGTTTTTTTGGATCCCTCAACCGGCGGGGGGCAACCAGTGAATTCAACGATAGCCAGCAGATGCACCCCAACACGGCCGCCATGGGTTTCTTCACATATCGACACACACACAGAGGTACACGTACTACACGTACGTGTGACCATGCGGCATGGAACGGTGAGGACACTTTCGGGAAGACGGTGCTTGACTTCGTGGAGTGTCCTCAGTTGCGTGCAACGATTGTACAGCGCATTCGCTCCAGGTCGAAGTGTGCGAAGCTGATCTAAGCGCAAAAACAGACGCAGAAGATGAACATGTCCAAGGTTGGATGAGAAAGACTACGATTTCATGAGATTTACAAAAACAAAAAGAATGGACCATAGCAAAGGTGGGTTGAACATTGAACTTCACTGGCCAAGTGGCTGTCATTCGGCATACCATGGACACACCAAGAACCAGGAAGCAGATGCGTCACGAAGACTGATGTGGTTCCAAAACTCACCACCACAAAACCCTTTGGGCTTATCTCAGTCTACACATCCGTTTCATTGTCATCGAGTGTCTATCACCCTTTGCCCTGCAATTGGTATCGTCTCTGTCCTGTTGACATTGCTTCCACGTATTGCTCCTTCTGCATTATACACAGAGTGCATAGTTCTGCGTTTCCTCAAAGGCAGGTACCGGTTGTTCACCAAGCTATTTGCTTCCCCAACATGTGGGGCGTCAGGAGTTTTTTGGATGTTCCTGCTCGCAGCGGAGAGAGAACATCGCTTCAGGCTTTTATGGAAGAAACGGTCAATGGCAGATATATTACTGTAATCTTTTGTTGAACTACCAGGATAGATAGGTTCCAAATGGAGGCTCAGCCTCACCCTCGGGCCTTTTTCATCCACTTCTCCCACTGCGACTCCAATTCCCACTGCTCCATCCGTCGGGTGGGGTTCGAATTCTTGGCCGACGTCCGGCGGAAGGAATCCGACCAATTGGGCGGCACCCACCAAATGCGGAAGGGTTGAGGAACAAGTTGGTTGGCTCTTTGCGGTTTAGTCTTCGTAGGTGTTCTTTTTTTTGCGGTTTTGGGGTGTGAAGTTTTGGGGTGGAGTCTTTTGAGCATTGGGAGAGTCGGCACTTTGAGCTGGGCAGTGTCACAGTGACCCGAGGACATGTCACTCTGCAGGGGCGAAAGGTAGGGGAAAGGCAAGCTTCCTTGCACAGTTCAAACGGTGTGTCTTGGACTTACGAACGACATGGTGTGCATGTTATGTCATCATGACACTCTGTGGCTACGGTCTTGGTCCTGCGCTTCGTCAGTGGCTTTGTGGTCAGCTTCGCAACTGCTCGGATTGATGTGGCACACCAGACTTTCCTTCGCCGACTGACCTTTCGGGCGGTGGTACGACTGGCCAAATATGGCTAGGGCTGAAGGAATTGATTCCTTCGTTCTTCGCGATGACGGTCACCCAGCTTCATAGGTTACCATAGGTTACGCGCTGCACGTCTGGCAAGCTTGGTAG